TCTCTTGCTCAGTTGTTAATGGAGTCATAGACTTTTTATTACTTAAAATTCTATGTATACGTTTAGCGTCTCTTATTAAATATTTAACAAATACTTCCGCACAATCTGTACCTCTGTATGAGACATACTTATTTAATTCATTATTATGTGCACAACAGATATAATAAGCAAAACATGAAGGTTGATGTGTCTTTAGTTTCCGAGTGTTTAAAGAGTTACTTTCATTACAGTCAATTAACATACATTCGAAGTCAGCATAAATGATGAAATTAATTTTCTGCTGCCTCTCAAAATGTTTAAATTTCAATATAGATTTTTTTTCAGGCAAAATAGACAATATCTTAGAACAGTTATGAGACTTGTATCTTGTTTCGCTACTGAAAAATTGTAAACATGCATCACATAAATAAACTTTACCTTTATAATGAGTTACTTGACGTCGTACAAGACGTATAAGATCTTTAATTAAACAATAGTGTCCAACAGTATTGTTTTCAATATATAGTAAATTAAAATGATGTTCTCTCTTATGCTTCGATGCATAAAGAGGTCCAGTTACAATATTATTTTGCAAACCATATATATTTACACTCATATTTGGATTGTTTTTCTCAAACTGTTTAATATCATTCATTGTGGGTGGGAATGACATTCCTTCTATATTTAAAACCGAAGAATAATGAGGATATGAACTTGTTCTGCACACGTTATTTTTCGCTGGATATAATCCAGCAACTATACTCCATAGAAAACAACAATCATCTTCATTTTTTATATTAATGCAACTTCTAGAATGTTTAATAGCTGGTGGTAAATCTATATAAGATCCACCCCTCATAGGTGAATACTTATTTATATTAATTTCGAGATGACTCATAGAAACAAACGTCCAACCAGATTGACAGTGTTGGAACTCTGTTAATTTCTCGTTCAATGCATTCATTACTTTAGTTAATAATTCATTCAAATCAGTGTTTTTATAAATAATATTGTACTTGGTATTAAATGACTTTAGCTGCTTTTCTTCTAAAGTTGGTAGCATAAAATATGCAAACAATTCGAAATTAACTTTTATGCAGTTGTGTTTATTTAGTGACATAGTAATCAATTCTACTATATTGGTTTGGTGATCACTCAGGAACGCCTCTAGACCGAGGTACTCGTCTTCCTGAGTGACATTCAATCTGTATGTCATTATTCTGTTATTGAATGCTGTCGCAATAATATGAATATTTGCGAACTTGGTATTCAATAAACAGTTTGCTTTGTGTATATTAGTTCTCATATGATAGGAATACTGATTTTCTGGAATTAATATTTTACATTTGTCACAGTTTATTTTTCTAGATCTTGACTTATTAGTGAGGTGTGAAGAAGCTGTGAAACAAAGAAAAAAAAACAATGATAATAATTATAAAATATAATGAAATAACCAAAAATACATTGAATTACCCTATGAATTAAAGCTAATGCTGGGATAAATATTATTATATTGTATATAGAGATATACCTATGCATCATGTACCTAATATAAAAATGTGTACAGGAATAATAAATTGATTAACAATAGGTTAAATCGTTAAGTTTCGTAGGATCCTAAGTACGACAGCGAACAATTTTTAAAATCTTTTTGGGTCGCTAAGATGAACTCTTTTATATGGCGCCAAGACTCCTTATCTTCATCCAGTTTAGTTTTTATAGTAGTAATAGCATGCCGCCATCTATTTATCGGCATAATTTTTTTTATTTCTTCGACATCATATATTTTTAACTCGACGTAATATTTTCCTTCTTTCGTCTCACTAATTTGCCGTGAATAGCCCTTCCGCAGCCTTTTCGTAAAATAAGAATGTATAGGTGGGACATTACCCGCTTTGGTAGAGCTCATAGCACATTCATTCTTGTCAACGTCTTCGTCACCGAATAAGTCATTGGCCGTAACGCATGCTGGCGGAGAAATTGGGGAGATAGTTGGTTTGGACTTTTTCGAACTAGATCCTTCACTCGACTTGCCGGGTCGCTCTCTCTTCATTTTCTTGTCCTCCGACTTCCCCTTCGGCTTCACCTCCGCTTCAGAATCGTCGCTGGAGAGAAAGAGATCGTTGGCGAGTAGCTTCGACCTGTGTATAAATAATATATTATTAGTGCACTGTACTCGATAATTTTATTTTCTACATATGTAGAGGTATAGGTGTTTATGTTAATTAGGTTTCGTTATATCTCTAAATATTTCTATGTATAAATCTAATATTAAAAATTATAAAAATATATGAACAACAAATACAATGCTTGGTATAGGTACAGACACATAGTCCTAACGTCAAACTAGAATATTCTATCTATGCTACAGAGATAAGACATAATGATCAGATTAACTAAATGTATGTCACAGTTAGACTTGAAACGTTACGAGAATGGAACCCTCGACTGTCCAATCTTTCATAAGCAGTCATAATTATCATTGTGTTATAGTTGAAATAAATTTAAATAATTATGTAACTGGTACTTAGTTTTCATTTTTTTTCAACACAAATTAGCATATTTGATCTGTGCAGGAATCGAACCTGCATCACAATATTGGCGGTCAACATTCGAATACTTGAATATATCAACTAATACATTGCTCTGACCATTTAATAGTTATTTAAATGATTATGAATAGATACTTACATTCTTGATAGGTGTTTAGACAGGTAGCTTGATCAGGAGCTCAGAGAGTTGATCCGTTGTAGAGAGGATTCGTTCCAGAGAGGAATTGTACCGGAGACTAATTTGCTATGCGTTTTTATAGGTCTAAAATCACATCATTCAATCCAAATTTGTAAAACTGCATACTTGCAAAAATTGCATACACGAGCGTACAAATCTGAGCGGTTAAGGTTTTAATCTTAGAGTTATTATATAAGATGGCTTTTACCCATGGTCCGCGTTAGTTTTAAATTATCCCACGGGAACTTAATACTGAGATAAAAAATCCTATGTCATATTCCAGGTTATGGTCTATCTGTATGCCAAGTTTCATCCAAATCGGTTAAGTAGTTTTAGAGTTTATTCGTTACAAACATACAAAAATACAAATCTTTCCTCTATATAATATTAGTGTAGATTATTATATGTATAGATAGATAATGTAGACGAATGATGAATATAGATACTTACTTAAATAAACAATAGGGGAATTTCATATTTAGAAAAAAAGTTTAAAGATTGTTGTTTTTTACTGAATGTTTTTGACGTCAGGCGACGGTACAAACGCTGCGGTTTGCACGCTCGCATGCAACTTCTAGACATATGGAGAAAGAGAGATATGACTAGTCAGAATCTCATATTTCGGTATGTAAAAATAAGCTTGTATTTATCTTATAATTTTTTCACAATTACTATGATAACTTATTTGTTTTTATGAAATATAGAAGAATTTGAACTATTGTATGAAAACGTAAAACGTGTCGATGCTCACTAATTGTAGGTACCTACTAATAATCAGATCGATTAAGTAAATCTTGTGTTTTATTCCAGCATAGAGGTACATCTAAGCTATTAAAAAAATAAATTAATAACAAAAAACTATTTATTTTTAATCTTTATAATAATAATAGCAGGTAAAACCAGGCTTAATAACTGTATGTCGATATTGATCAATTGTTATGTATGATCCGTCTCCTTAAAAAGAATTCAGCTACGTTGCAAATTCGCTAACGCTGATATACTATTAACATACCATGATTTTGCTTGCCAAATCATTTTAATAAAATGTATGAAAACAATAACCGTGAACAAAAATACAGTAGTATTATTTTGTCGATATATATTTTCGATAAACAATAAAATGTTAGGCGTCGGAATGTCTGCGGTTTCAATTTCACCATACCATTTTTGTATAGATATTAACATCTAACAAAATGTACGATATTGAACTCTATGTATTAAAAGAAGTAATTAAATTTAAAAATATAAAAGGGGGATATAATAAATTGAAATCCATTTCATCTTTGAATCTGATGGTGAAGACTGAATCAGACTGATATAATTGTGGAATGTCGGTAAGTGTTACTTTAATACATTCACTAACAATTTAAAAATGTATTAATATTAACAATAGTAGTAAGTAGCATCATAGCATTAATTATTTCCACATAAGCCTTTATTTCAATCGTAACGTTTGTAGTGTAACTTAAATTAATATTGTATTGTTATTTCAGGACTCGGAGGATCTCTTCAATTTTGTTCCCATGAATCAACCAGTCCAACAAACCACTGGACAGAAGACGCTGGGTCTCGCTCGCAAGAGATCAAAAACAGATCAGACATTCTATCAATTTATAAAGAAGCCTGTTTCTCGTGGAACGAAAATAATAAAAATAGAAATCTATGATACAGACAGTTTTCAAAAATCCGAACAGTCGATGTGTAATTGTGAGGCTGATGTGTGTGTTCAACATGTTGTGAAAACTATATTATACGATGATATATATACCAGTACGAGAGAATTAATTGCCAAAATTCAGGATGACATCGAACCAAGAGTATAGATTTAATAATTTAAAATGTATAGACGTCACCGTTTACCACTTATGTATGTTTAATTTTCTAAAAAAGTTTATGTAAATAATTATAAGTGTACCTATGTAGTAATGAATAGATATCAACTATAAAAATATCAAAGATTGTATATTTAAAATAAAATAATTCAAAATAACATTTTTTTATTAACTCATTCTTATACATGTAATAAATAGCCACTGCACTACGTACCTAGGTATATAAGGCAGCGCAATGGACAATAGCGAGAGCATTCCATATTATCATATTCAATAAGTATGATCTTTTTATGAATATTACTGCCATGCCTGCTATCTTAAAATAATATGTGAATAGAAGATTAAAATGTGGAAAATAGGGTATCCAGATCTCTGATCTGGATGCCCTATTTTCCAACTACTACTGTCTAGATTCAGGTATGGAATTTGATACTAACTCAAGTACATTGATTGTTTTAGTGTGAAAAATTGCGGAAGAAGAGATCTAGTTTGGTTGGCGCGTTTGTGTCAACGCATGGGAAATCCATTGATGATGTTGACCGGTCTATTGTAGAAGCCCGGACTGCACTCAACGAGGTCACTCAAGAATTACAGGTAATTTACATATTATTTTACATAACATAACATAACATCACGCCTTTTATCCCCGAAGGGGTAGGCAGAGGTGTACATTATGCCACTGAGCCTATTGCCATATACTGGGCTCAATTCTAGACTTCGTGCTACTACTGAGATTTTTTTAAAAACCCAGTATTACTTTGCTCGTCCCGAGACCCCTTGCCGCACTTGCTGAATAAAAAAAAACCTAAATATTTATTTATCAATGAACTTTGAATAAGGTTATGTAAATTCAATGCCCCGCCCCACCCTGCAACTTGCTTACAAGCATAGATGACGTGTGCGGCGCGTGGTTAATTTTTTTTTGCATAAGCTGGTAAACGAGCAGACGGATCACCTGATGCTAAGCAATCGGCGTCAATCAGCAATCTTTTGCGGTCGCCCATTCTGTCACTCGTGTTAATTTCCGCTCAATTTTCATAGTTGATATGTAGGAACGTCCGGCAATGACACCGTCACGGCGTCGTCTAGCGGAGTTTGGTCTCTGCATATAATCGATCGAATCGATCATTCGAATGACATCTCGTACAAAATTCAATGAATTTTTTACGAGATTCAGATTTGTGACATCATAGTGTATTGAAGTTAAACTTGATATTCTTGTTTTATTAATAATTTTGTTGAATATCGAACCTCTTTATTGAATGAAATTTCGACCTTGTCACTTTTCATTTTTAAACTTTCGTGTGCCATAATAGAATAGTGACACAATAGAAAGTACATTACATACACTTAAACACACGAAGGGTTATGTCTTTATTACTGAAGCTAAACATGTACCACTTAAGCTATTAATAAACATGGAGCCCAATAGAGCTGATGCTGATACGGAGCCGCGGAGGACTTAACGGGTTACCGGGGCTCCGGCTCGAAGTGCAGGGGTAGGCTCACCTATGTGGGAGAAGTCATTCGATGATTGGATTTGTCCTCAAAAAAAAGGCATTCTGTCTCACCCATTAAATTGCCAAGGAAAGTGGAAACTATTATTATTATTATAATATCTTTTAATAACTTCTGATCTATTTCGTTGCGGGATCTAAGACATTTATTCATGTCCCTGGGATGCGCCGGACTTCAGTGTTGCGGTGTAGTCATGGTTATATCTACTGTAGCTCCTGGCTACAGGTTTTCAGCGGGTGTGGTGGACATAAAATATATGTATAACACTACAAAACAGCTGATAGTTCATTCATCGCGGATTCGTTTCGTTATCAATGTCAAGGTCGACCGGCACGTTACCGGTTATGCTCAAGAACTGTATAAAATGACGATTTTTACGTAATAAACTATATTGGGTACTAGCTACTTCGCGCGGTTTCAATCGCTCTACTCAGTTCCTTTTTTTCTTTTTACAATAACAATCCAACACGTTTACGTGAAAAACCAACATTTTGTTAAATCTCCCCCCCCCCCCCCCGTGAGATTGGGGGATGGGGGAGGGTGTTGAATAAAATCTCACCAGGGGGGGAGGGACCGAAAATTATTTTATGGACGCCCTCTTAGGTTTTATTAACTCTGTATGGAGGAGACCCTTTGGTCTGCAGTAGATGTCCTCAAGCTGATGATTAAGTAAGATGCTAAATATTCGATATTGTATTTTGCAGGAGCGCATGCACAGATGGAAGCAAATCGAGCGTATGTGTGGGTTTAACATAATCAATAACAACGGGCTGCAGTACTTGGAGACTGCGCTGTACAGGAGTGCCAACGGCCGGCCTACTGGACGAGGTAAATATATCTTTTCTATAGTCATACTTACTAATATTATAAAGCTGGAGTTTGGTTGGTCGAATACGCTCGTTGTTCCTTTTTTGAAACTAATTACACAACTGAACTGATAAAAAGTAGAAACGAGTTTGTATGTCCCACAAAATAATAGGTAAATTTTTCTTTTTTTTTAAACGTTACGCCACGTTAGGTTTTTCTCCGGTGTCGTGAGTGCATTTACAAACATACAAGTTCACATAATCGCACATCTGTAGATCACACAAATAGTTGTTCCGTGCGGAAATCGAACCCGCGACACGTTGCGCGGCAGCTAGTTGCCCAGCCACTGCGCCAATCGTGTATAGTCAAAAATCTACACAAAAGTATTTATAAATTAAACTAGCTTCTGCCCGCGACTTCGTACGCGTACCATCTCATTTTTTCCCGTCCCCGTTCGTGATTTTCGGAAAAAATAAAAAAAAATTTTGGTTAAAAAGTATCGGTGTGTCGTATGTCGGTCTTCTGGCTCTAAGCTACCTCCCTACCAATTTTCAGCCAAATCTATTCTGCCGTTCTTGAGTTATAAGTGGTGTAACTAACACGACTTTCTTTTATATTTAAAGATAACTACTAAACTCAACAATACGGTAGTTGACAAGTAGTCAAATTCAGTACTTTTATTGAAATGTCAAAAACGATACTTTACAGATACATACAGTCATCATATTTCTGCGTCAAATAGCATACTTATTTCCTTAAATTTTTACGAGAAAAAATCCAAAAGTAGGTAAATTGTCAAATCAATGGATGAGAGTATGATTACTTTTAATTATTTATTGCATTGAAAAGTTGAAACAATTTATTTTATACCTAGGAAACTAGCCAATTATTCACCTTATTTTCATTTCTTATTAAACACAAATTGGCGTCATCATATTTTTCAATATCTTATTCATAAATCTTCTAGGTCGCATCAGCAGTTCTCAAGATGACCTGAGCATCGGTGATGATGCGTCAATATGTGGCTCAGGTAAGAACTACGATGAAATGTCCCTATTCCACGAACACATCGAGTGAACCCGACAAACACAAGTAGTTGCATTCATACTGTTTGATTAAACAACTTTTTCCCATTTATTCAAACAATTTTGACCTCTATTGCTTAATTTATAAGGCAAGTTATCTCGCTGGTGTTACGCTTTGCCGTATGTATGCTTGTTTAGAGCTCAAATTTGCTTGAATAATGAATTATGGATGAAAGTAAGGATTTTTTGTCCTGGCAGAACTAAGTAGGCCCTTTATCAGAGCTTTTACTGATAAGGTGAAATTGGATTAAGAAGTTTCTGTAAGGTAATCGACTTCTATATTATTTTAGTAACTTCTTTTTTATAGTAGTATATTTTTAATTGCTCTGGGTTGCAAACGTATTAAAATATTATTAGTCTTAGTCGATTTTCAGGAGAACAACACTATGAATGCATCTGTTTTAAATTTTGTTTGTTACGTATCGTTGGATTTTCAAAATAGCTGGTAGTTAAAACAAGTATTTAGATGAACAATGGGTTTTATCATCATAAAATTGAAGTTTATTTTGTTAATTAAACGATAGGATCAAAGAAAAAAGTTGTTATTGAGAGCCATTGATAAGTAAAATTTCGTTGGATGGCTTAATATTTTGACATTAGTTAATAGTTGATGATCTTACACAACTATAGCACTTTAAGGTTGTTAAACCCATATTAACAAAGTCCTTAAAGTTTTAAAAAAAGGTTTTCGTTAGTCATATTTTTGTTTTGCATTTAACAGTGAAAGCATTTGCAAAAATGTTTATATTGTAAAGATAAATGTTTTTTAAACTGAATCTCAAATGAGCTTCGATCTTGTAATTAAATAATCTATAGTCTGTACATGCCATGACAGTTTGCAAGACATTTTTCGAAATCTTACATTTATCGATTGATTGTAATCGACTAAAAACTCGACTAACGAGTATTCAATTATCATGCTCTCGAAAATGTCGTGCAATCCATCTTACATGCACAGATTATAAACGCTTTATGACAATAATTATTGTAGGCAAGTAAATTCAGGTTGCAAAACAAAAACAATCTATGTGTTCTAAAAAGTAATAAAAACGTAATAGTAACGTATCTCTAAAGAAGGATATTATTATATAAAACTTTATTTTTAGCCTTCAAGGTCAAATTAAATATATGTACGACCAATCGCTTCCATCAGAAATTATTTGTCTTGTAAGGTTTTACAAACATTTAATCGGCCAATCAAAAGTTCTGAATTCAATGTGTATCTGTGAACTGTAGGACAGAATCTTATTAATTTCTATTCTATTCGTAATTAAAAAACGACGATACGGAAGTGCCTTGACCTGTCCTTCTCTCACATTACCTTGCTAGAAAAAGATAGCAATATCCTCATATAGATCCGTTTGCAGCCAATTATATAGTAGTTCTTATTTTGAAAGCGGCTGTTACTTCAAAGCCATGTTTAAATAGTATTAGAATAGTCAAAATAATATTTATTCGACGGCTTTAACGGCAGCCATCGTTAATTTATTTTTTGCTTCATTATTTAATTTTGAAGCATTTATTCTATAAAATAATCTTCCGTATATTTAAAATTACGTAATTCAAATCTAATGTAGACAAGGTTTATTTTGGATTGTTAACAAATATATTATTAACCATTATTATTAGCAAAAAAAATCATTATAACCTATAAATGTTACTAAATTTTGAGCTTTTGCTGTTTTTAAAAGTCTATCTAAATAATTGTTTAACCAATGTTCCAATTTTGAATCGATGTGATAATTAACTAGTAATACTTGTAACAAGCCTCGCTTTGCTTGTAAAGTGATAAAATGTTACCCTTTAAATTAAAACAAAAATAAACTGTTTAATCTGTGCTCAAAATACTTTAGGCGGAATCTAGTTAGTGTTGTACTTAAAAACGATTAATGTATCGATATGGATATTTTTAGTCGATTTTGATATGTCATAAATATAATATTTTTGTAACTTACTTAAATTAATCATTATGTTATCTAATATTATTTTATTTATAAACTTACATTGAGCATCGATTACTCCCATCGAATGGTTTACTGTAGACAGTTTGGTTAGCTTCCAAAACATTTTTCATATTAACTTTTTTTTTATAATAATCATAGTAAATAGTAACTAGTACAATCTTCCATCGAGTTTATACGGTTAATCGATATACAATCGAATTGTTAATCGAGTTCCTGATGTAGATCTTAAATATATAACGATGACATTAATGATAAGTTTGAAAAACATTGTTATTTATTATTACTAGTTTCTAAGTAACAATTTTATGTATGTATTTTGATTAAATAAATTATATTTTGAGAAATTTCGTTCGTCACAATCGGTAGGAAGCTTTCAGGCTGAAGATATAAGATATAGTGGCCAGTTGATCAACCTACTGTCAGATTTATTTATTAGATTTTCGACTTGATGAATAAAAAGTTGAAAATGTAATAGATAAATTTGATATAAAATGATAGGTAGATGACCTGTTGGCCACATTTACGGTGTTCTCAAGTTTCCCAGTTAAGCAAAGCATGTATGAAGTAATAGATGTATTTGTTGTACATAATTTTATACTGTCGGTGTGGGTTTTCTTTCACTCTTCTATCCCTGTGCATGTTGTAAACTAATATCATACGATTACATGGTTATTTAGTAAGCTTTAAGCAATTCTTCTTTGCACGCAAGTTGAAATGACGCTAAATAATGATAAAATATAACACATATAAAATTTAAAAAGGTTTCTATTACATTAGGCATAATTAGGTATTGTTTCTAAATTAGTAATTGGCTTTATTTTAATACTGCTTGTAAATACCCCAGCTTGATATGTTTAGTAGATTATTTAGTCGATTTTAAACGAATGACATGATACTCTATGCACGTTTGAAAGCTTTTGACGATTGTGATTTTGTTTTATTTTGCCGCCAAACCCTTCCCGGCTTCCATCAGTGTTGCAAGGATTTTCCAGTATAGTCTATATTAGTTATGCTTTATCAGTGTTTTTATGGCAACATTTAGATTGTTTGGCACTTGCAGGTAAGAAATTGTTGGATTTATGCTTTGTTATGTAGAATTACTTCGTTATATTATTTCATACATGCTTTGGAGTTGATTGAGCTTTGTAACATCATATATAGATAAATGAATAGTTTTAACAAAGATGGCGTCTGGGGAAACATTTGCTTGGTTTATTTGTTTTGTTGTTTATTTTTATTTAATTGTATTGTTGCTTTCAGTTGCTGATAACTTCGTGTGGCGGGAAGATTCTTCGGGCAGCGAAGCGGATGCTCCACACTACCCGTTAGACCTGAGACTTGCCGAGGCTCGGTACGTTATTTTTAAAGATGTTTACGACTGTTAGGCAGTTTTTTAAATTTCTTTAGAGAAGTATTGACTAAAACATACGCAAGAGTCAATTCAATGTTCTACATTCTTAAACTTTGCGATGTTGTTGACATTTTTTTTATTTATATGTCTGTTATAAAGTAGTACAATTACTTATTTAAAAAAAAACCATACAAGTTAATTTAAGTATGTATTTGTTTTAAAGATTAGCGATGAAAACTAGTTCTTAGTTCTTCTTATCGATAAATGGATTTCACAGGACTAAAATTGTAATTTATATTGCAGATTACAATTAGAAGAGCGCTTAGCGCAAGAAGCTCGGGAGCGCAGACAGGACGAACGCATAGAACGGCGCGCGGAAGAGAAGCGAGCCGCTCTCGAGGACTTTAGGGCTAGGACCTCTTACAACGATCTGCGGAAGACTCCCACTGATGACAGGAATAAGGAGCAAGTGCAGTTCATATTGGGAGGGGATAAGTAAGTACATAGTTATTAAATTATTGTTGCATAAATATTTAGTAAGTTTTCTTAGGTAAGCAAGTCTAGATCTAGTCTAGATGATTACGTCATTGGTAGTTTTTTTTACAAGAATGGCAACCCTCACTTTGTCTATGCTTGAAAATGAAACCCAATTTCGGGAATTCCCGCAAATATAATCGCAATATACGTTTGATCACTCGCTTTAGAACCGATTAGGTGGGGGAATTACCGCGCGCTGTCATTTGTCTAATTTCCGCGTTGTTTCTTAAGTTGAAAGTTAACATATACAGTATGTAGCTAGACCTATTTTTTCCAAGATGTAGTAAAACATTAAGATCGAAAATATTTTGTTGTCTCGAATATTTTATTGGATCTAGTGCTCGGACTGACTTGACAACTGGAAACTGTAGAGGATAGTCAGTAACTATAACCCTTCGTTTACCAAAATGTAGACCTAAGCGAGACATAATATCTGTGGCATCTCATATCCATATCCACTCAAGTTTAAACTATATAATTAAATGTTTCAGTGTAAACTGGTCAGGTGAGCCAGAAATACCGCGCATTGCGGAGCTCACTCGCGCAGTGACATCGGCATCCCAGCCGCAGCTCCGTGCCTCGGTCCGCGGGGCTCCGCTGCCGCCCCCGCGCCGCGTCCTGTCCTCTGTCGCAGCCCCCATCGTACGCTCCCGTAGTACTGATGTAGTACCACTGTCTGATGACCCTAGACCTCCACCTAGGAATGCCTTCCCGAGGCCGAAGACGCTTGCTGAAGGTTAGTTATCTGTCTAGTTTTTTATGGTAAAGTTCCATATGTAACCTGACCTGATACCTGCCGCATCTTTTCGCCATCGACCCTCACGACAGCATATGCATCCCCATCATATAGATGGTTGGCAGACCACAACTGTGCGCTTCTCACGTAGCTTCCTGCCTCGCACAGCAAAACTGTGGAATGATCTGTCGTCGGCGGTGTTTCCGAACCGATACGACCTTCAAACCTACAAGAAAATGAGCGGATACCTTTTTAAAAGACCGGCAACACGGCTGCTACTCCTCTGGTGTTGCGAGTGTCCATGGGCGGCGCTGATCGCTTACCATCAGGTGATCTGTATGCTCGTTTGCCTCCTACTCCATAAAAAAAATGGATCACTTGATAGTAAACATTCAGCGTCGCCCATGGACATTCACAACACAAGTGTGTTGCCGGCCTTTTAGGAGTTAGAGATTCGGAGATTGGGGAAGTAAGATAACCTCAGTTACACTGTGACTTACCGGTTATGTCCTAATGATCATCCATTCGCTTCCAGACGCCCCAACGCCTTCAAGCAACACGCCACCAGAAGAAGAATCAACAGACTCCTCACTGATGGACGACGAAGGTGTTCCCAAGCCTCGTAAGCGTCGCATCCACCTCCCATTCGGCAAGAAAGCCAAAACACCGGCGTGACGTCACCACCAAGTAACCCGGTGACATTTGACAAGCCATCACTGACATGGCGAAGCGTGTTTGGTAACAAAACTGCCATTTTATCTGTCCAGGTGATACTAGGATAATGCGAAAGAATAATGAGGTTTCTTGCTCGTTCTACTCCTTAAGAAGGAACGAACAAGCTTCACTAAAGGACCGAAGACGTATTTTTCTTTGAGTTTCAAAAGTGCCTTTTCGAATAGTGATCTATACCTAAGTTCCTCGAATCTTGTAAACGTTTTTATTAATTTTCTTTAGTTCATCTGAACAGGTAATTTGGTAGGTCTCTCATATAAATTTTATTATCTGTTTAAGTACAAAATATGAAGGTTACGCGGTGGTCAAACATGAGATATATATTTGACAGTTTATTATAAAAATTAAATGCATTAGTTAGTAAAGAAACTAATTGACTCTTTAATGTCTGTGTAGAGATATCCTCCACTTTAAATATTTTTTTGTAATTTTAACTTATCTACCCCCCCGATGTTTACAAACTTTCCTATTTTGTACTTAAAAACATTTGGCAATAAATTATTCGTTCCCAATAAAGTAGTTTTTAATAGAATAATAATAAATTTCGCGGCCTAATGCAGAAACTGTCGTTTCTTAGTAAAGAAGTCAATTGATACACCAAGGGAATTTGGTGGAGGCCAGTGTTTTATAAGATAATTACCTCATTAAGTGAGGTATTGTAGAAACTATAAGACCTACATTTTACTTAGGTCGTTTAGTAACTTTCTTAGTCTTGATTCAAATCTTTCAAGGCCAGTTTTACAGTCTCTAAATAGTAGAAGGTTCATTAACTGTCTTAAATAAAAAATTAAATGTAATCCAGTAGTTTAGTTGCATTGATAGTAACCGATTGTATAGGTGTATCACCATGAATTTTTCTTCTATAAAATCATTGAAGACTTTTTTGCTTTAAAAAGATACTTTAGACACGCTCAATATTCTGGCTTAATGTTTCATATTATGCCAGTTAAATATATCAACAACGAGTTGACCCGCCACTCTTCGCACAGCCTAAAAATGGTTTTCTCACCTTTAAACTGGACTTCCATTTCAAGGCCAAAATTAGCCAAAACGGTTCAGCCGTTCTCGAGTTTTAGCGAGACTAACGAACAGATATTTAGTTTAGGTATATAGATTTATTACAAGGGACTGTAAAACTAGCCTCTAACTCACAGCGACCGTATAACATAATTAGCTATTGAATTAATTATTATTATTTAATAGTTCGCGCTTCGTCTAAGTTGTGCATAAATCTTGGTTGTAATTTGACTGAGTGACATTTGATTTTCCCCCCAAAAAATAGATTTCTTGCACGTTTGTTAGTCTTAACTACACGTTTTGTAGTATTGTTTCCTACTTTGTATTACATATATTTATGTACTTAAAATCCATTTTTGCAATACGTTTTTTTGATATTTCTCTAAATGGTTTTGTGAGGCTGTTTATACTTTTTATCTCAAATCAATTGTGTAATGACAATACAGTTGTTTAAAATATGATTATAATTTTATACTTACATAGTTTTCGATAGATAGTATACGTTGCTTGTCACAATAGTAAACAATATATCCTATATATACTTTTATATATATTTTGCTACGCGAAATCGGTTTTATGGCTATAAGAACACGTTATGATTTGATAATTTGCAGGTATTTCCTTAGAAATTATAAATAAACACGATATAAAAATATAACCAATGTTACTACAATACAATTTTACAAATTAAAGTTATAAAATGAATATTGAAATTGTCATTCAAGTATGAACGGTTTATATGTTCGATAGCTCACACAGGCTGTATTTATTATCACACCATTAGTACATGGTTACTTAGAACACCTAACATCACGCCTCTTATCCTCGAAGGGGTAGGCAGAAGTGCACATTATACCACTGTACAATGTAACACCCACTATTTCACTATTTATGTTATGATTCCCATGAAATAGGGGGTGAGCCTATTGCCATATACCGGGCAAATTTCCAGACTCCGTGCTACTACTGAGTTTTTTTTTAAACCCAGTAGGACTTTAGTAACTTAGAAACTGGTTACTTAGAAATAATTAAAAAAAAACTAGAAATCTGGTTTTATTTATGGCCATCGGTTTATGTCGTCACTATTAATCTAGACGTATTTCCTATCTCATCATCATTTTCATCAACAGCCGAAAGACGTCCACTGCTAGACAAAGGCCTCCCCCTTAGTCTTCTATTTGTAACATTATTATTATGGTTGTGCAATATTTTAATTCAGAAACATACTTTTATAGATTCTAAATACAGTCCTGTGTAAAAAAATTACACTTGCATGAAAGACATTTTGTATGTTTAGATGTCTAGGCCAATAAGTTGTTTTATTATTTATTTTTAAATATTTTTTTATTGTATAAAGACATTTTAAGAATATTTTGTCCGTTTTTGGAATGTTGTCTTGTAAAAACCAGTTCTCCTAAAAATCTCCAATTTTGATTTTATATTTATATGTTAGTGAGGTCGGGCTGGGAACCCTATTTTTGTGCAAATTTAAATTAGATATGTTTAATAAATCACCGAGTAATGTATTTTTATGTATTATCATTTTTATTTTTATTTATGACTGCCTAATGCGTGTTTCTTTGCTTTTCAATCCTGATATTAGATTCCAATGTAAAATGTTTGAATAATAGTGAATTATTTCATTTCTTACAATTTAGTTAATGCTACACTTTTAAACTAAACATGTTCCCATATTGTTTTGTCTTGAAATTCGCCGGAGTGTCGACTAGATATGAGCGCAGTTATGTTGTGATTATTGTAAAGTTTACGGTATTTCAGAAAACGTCACATATAATTTTATTAATACACTACTAGTATTTTATCGTAAAAATAACAAAAAAAAGTGTTATATTCTTACACCTTTCAAGTGTGTTGAAATAAATGCAATAATTATGAGATATTCTGCTTAATATCACTTATTAATTTACGTTTTCTGAAATCCCGTGTTTGTAAATCATTTGCTAGTATAATAAACTAATCGCAGTATAAGTTACTATTAACACGAGTTTACCATATCGCATCATTCCCTTTTTTTCGTAGATGATAGCGATATTATCGACCTTTAGCTGTACGTGTAGAATTATTTGTAAGGCAACATGGTGCTAAATGAACATTCTCAGACTGAACACCGCGCATGGCTCAAATTTTTTGTATGAATTTTATTATTCTGCTCGTTTCTATGTGGTTTTGTACTAAATTGTGACGTGATGTTGCGTTTAGCTCCTGCCGTTAGTAAAATATATCTAATGTTACCGTTGGCGTTACAAATGAGTCCGTAATTTTAAAGTTCTAATACAAATTCATGAGTTGGCTCAAATTGTCTAACGCCAATGACAGTCAATGAAATCAGTATCATAAATAGTTCAAGTTATATAATGACGCTATACGTAATAATGTATTATAATGTCCCAGTCGTGTCTACATCGTGAAACATTAAGAAATTCGTACTTAATGAAATTAATTGTGTAATGCAGAAGTTGAGTACAAAATTGTTTGACAAGTGGTAACCAGCAAAGCCTACGAGGTACACTTGTATTATGTTTATTTTAACTTGGATTTTAGATATATTTTAATTAGTTGATTATTGCGATTTATTTTATGGCACCTAATGCTGTGAGGAAGCAATAATCGACATTACAATTAGCCAATCAACACGAAACCAATGAGCCTACTATTGTAGGTCCCTACTTACTACGTTCGATGCCATAAAATAGATCAAATTTTCACGAAGTGTATATTTTGTAGACCCCAGATCTGATCGCGTTGTAAAGACAAATCGTGATAAATAAATTGTTACAATCATTGAAAGTTAATAAATTGATATTACAAAAGTTGTGTTTTAATTTAAACTAAGAATCCTCGAAGGATTCATTATTAGGCCAAACATCCTACAAGAATGTGAGAATCGTAGAGCCAGATATGCCCAAATAGTCAAACGTCACTCGATTTTAAATCGTGTATAATTCTTATGTAGATTGACAGAGTATGATATTCTTTTTTTTACAAGTACATACATCTTAAAATTTTCCTTTCTGTATTCGTGCGAGAATCGTTTCATAGTTTGACAGATACTTACTAAGCAGGAGTTCCCCTTCATCATTAGTACCGCAACATAGGTACTACAAGACGCCAGAACGGCAACAGGCCACATATTATTTGTATAATTTCTCCAAAACAGCTATGACCTCCGCGTATAATTCGAGTCTCCAATTGAGCCTTAAGCTCTCTAACATTATTCATACCTCGAAGTGGTTCTGATTGATAATTACCTACCTACCTACTTTACAAATCTGGCCAACTTTTCCCAGTTTTTACAAGGCGTTATTTGGATAGGACCTGTAGTTTTAAGAGTTATTGCAAGATTTTCAGACTATGATGAGCGAAATGAATTTTATTATAAATATTAGTAGGCGTATATAGGTATCTATTTACGATGTTTGTGACCTCATAAATGGGTCCATTTCAGATCAAGGTCTTACTTACCATATCTTGTAATTAGGAATTAATGTCTTTCAGGGGCGCTACTCAAGTGGACCCCTACCTACTCATGGATGTTATTTGTTACTCTACCCAGTGCTCCTCAGACTACCGCAATAGTTGAATTTCGTTGTAGAAATTTATGAATTGGTCATTTTGCAAGATTTCAGTCAATTTCAGTGTTGCCATCCTGATAATTTGCTAACTACCACTTTGATTACAATAAATAATCTCATTGCACTACACTTTTTATTAATATTTGTATATGATCGAGCTTGTATTAGTTTATTACATAGCTTTGACATAGTGTGTGAGGATCAAGGGTTAAGAAAAAAATACAACAAATATTTTAATTACGAAATTTATTTAAAAATGTTACGTGTACAAATACCCTATAGCTGGTGTACGCGATGCGAGCAATACGTTATATCATTATAAAAAGAACACTGCTCCTCAATAGCCTTACAATCAAAATGAAGTTATAAGTAACAACATAACAATTACGCCTACAACATAACCTCTACCGGTCATAACATAACAATTTGCATTGAAGTTCCAAGTATTTACGATAATGGCGCATTATAAAGTACAAAATAACATTATTTAATATTAATTACCGTCTCATAGACCGTTACATCAAACATGTTAACAGACTGTTAACTACATCACAAGTCGTAATAACCTAGTTATCGTGCCGTAAGCACCAACCCGATTTAGATTTATCAAAAATAATGAACAAGGCGGATAATTAAAATGGTTTTTAACTTCGAAGCGGAGACAAGTGTTACATTAATTGAGCGCTATAAATACACCGTTTAAAGTTGGTTTTTGCACTTTCCCAGTCTGCCAGATACATATTAAAATAATAAAAGCGCACAACGATGCTCACGTCACCGTTTCGAAGACTGCCTTGTGTAGCATTCCTTACATTTTGATGTGTTTTGACACGAAATAGGAATGTGGAGGAAAGACGGCTTGCGAGGTTACTTAGTAAAACTCTTTCACGTTCTAATAAAAAGCATCCTATACATATCAGTCACTGCATTAAATTTAGTGCATTTGTGTATGGCGAGGTCGGTGGTGACAATATTTCCTTACGTTCACGGCAGTATAATCTTCATAGACAAAGCAGTACAACATCACAAATACAGGACAAGTATATCAATTTCATTTATGTATCGACGAGTTAGAATCTGGTATCTAAACGTTGCGCGTACGTATACGACATTGATTATGAAGGTCTATTTAATACAATTTACCTTAGAACTGATTAAAGAACATTGCCGTCCACTACAAAGAACCGAGTGAATAAAATAAGTTTGACAACGAATTCATTCTGCGTTCTTATGAGAACTAAGTAACGAGTTGAATGTAGTGAATGACAAGTAGATATTCAGCACCAAACATACGTTTCGTATGCACAGACCTCGACAGTTAGATAAGAGTGGCGCAGTAGTGCAGCCGGCTGCCCGCGCACTATTGTTGCTTGCACTCGGCGGGGTTGTCCTGCGCGCCCTTGATGGGCTTCTTGCCTCGTCTCCGCGGCGCTGGCTCCTCGTCTTCACTCTCTTCCGTGGAGCATTCCTCCTCCTCCTGACAACGCCAATACAACGTCAACACATATTACTAAACACCGACCTCGGCGCGACTCGTTACCTTACATTACAGTCAACGTGAATTCTGCAACCATCTGCACTCGACAAACTTGCACAATTCGCATGCAAATAATAATATAAGGATAAAATAAATAAAACACTCGGGTAAAAAGCATACAATTTTAATGTCATCATTACGACATCATGCCAAAAACATAAGCCATTACCGATATATAAAAACTACCTGACGAGCTGCTATACATTGACATTATATTATGCTAACTTCAATAGAAGGTTACATAAATAAAAAATATACATCTATTATCCGACCTAACTATTGTCAAATCATTATTAAAATACATATATTATTATCATATCGGATATAGATCACAGTTGGCGATGTTCAAGTGATGATGTAAAAATGCATTTTGGCACTAAAAAGAGATTCAGCGAATTCAATTCCTGGGCTGACTGCCGTAGCGGCAGTACGCACGGAGCGAAGGATCTACTAGCGTCTCAATGGAATGACGGTACTTCAATTTCAATCAATAGGAAACATTAAAATATAGCCTTAGAGAATAGTAATATCACATGAAATTTCAAAGTACTCAAACGAATATGTAAAATTCGTAAACAAAAATACACACTATAATTACTGTATAATAAATAAAAACGAGTAATGTATAAACTAAACTAGAAATGCAAAATAGTTGTCGTAACAGACATCTAACAAGTTAACATGCATTATAACATCGATAATGAAGGCACCTCACACTTCTCGCATCAAGACTACGGGAGCCCCTTGCCAGCCTTATACAAAAATCTACTCTAAAACATATTTATCTGGACAGGGATAAACCATGCATAGAACGGACATGTGGATCTGCGAGAAGTTTATCTTTACTAAATATTCTAGCGTACAAATACTACCGATTTAAAGGACAATAACCCGACGCGTTGCAGGAGTATTCATTATCACGTTTCGCTTGGCGAATCGATTTTTGGTACAATTTAAAAGAGATATGGGCTGATATGGTCGCGATAAAGACTAAAGCACGCAGAGCTCGTGAGCACGAGCCGCTAGATGCCCACGCCAACGCCGGGGAGTTGGGCGTGGGCACGTAGCGAGCTGCCGACTGACGCTATATATAACGCTAGGGGCGGTCGGACAACGTCTTGCATCAATCCTCCGCGTCGGACACTTCCTCCGTCCCAGAGTCTTCGTCAAAGTACGAATCCTCCTGAAACCAAATATACCGCTTTTGTTTGTGCTGCCACCAGCCAACACCCACCAGACGTAGATACTGTATACTCTGTTACCCGTGGAAGATTTATGCAGACGCATTACCGTACGGCGTACACTACACGAGGGGAGCGGGGTTACAATACATACTGTACCTTCGTCTGATTGCGGGGAGTGGGGGGAGGCAAACTCAATGTTTAGCACAACCGCTGCTAAACTAGCTAAGCAAGCATAATCAAAAGTTTCTACCATGCAAGTAGGTTCAAACACCTTGCGGAAATGCTAGATGGCTGTAGAATTCACTGTTTTTGAAGTTATGCAGATAAGCGCGTTCAATTTATACGAGTGTGCTCATCATCGCAATCATCTCGTTGCGGCGAATGTTCAATCAGAAATACGACTTCGTTATAAATAGTGCCTTTTTAAATTATATTATAGGTTCAAAGAAGGTCGAGTTAGTTCAGCATTAATTAGTAAATCCAGATTTCTGATTGAACAGTTAACATTTTTATAGAGAAAATAAAACAACTATATGGGCTATTATTAGCATATTTCGCGGTACATCGAACATAGAAGTTCTGCCTTGGAAGCACAATGCTAGAAATTGAACAGACGAATTTGTTAGTGGCTACCTATTATGTAATTTATTTTAATGTTAGTCATCTATTGGTTATATTCATGCAAAACTCACGTAATCCCTACTTTACAAGGCATTCGATAGTGTATACGCGTTCTAGTGTCGTACTTCCGAGGCAGACTGACAGACAGACATATAGTGCAAGTAGATGTACTGACCTCTTCCTCATAATCATCATCGTCGTCGTCGTCAAGACCCTCGCCGGTGTAGAGCAGGACGGCGCGGGACACGACACGCTCGCGAATGTAGTGACCGATCTCAAAGTCGGCTGTGAGCAGCGCCTGCAAAGTTTTGATCAACACATTGAAATCACATTTTTTTAAATTTATGGAATAAGTAGTGGTCGAAATAATACTAAAACCAAAATAAGACAGTCAAAAATTTACAGATCAAGCAGCCTAAATTATTCTATATCAAATTATAGAGTTAATATTTGTTAATTAAAATGCTGATCTCCAAAACTATTGATTCAAGTTAAGAAACACCTGTTTGCATTGGATAATTCATTATCAAGTAAGGCTGTAGATTATAAAACATCATGCTACAATGAATAAGAGCCGAGCAGCGGTGTAGTGTACTACTTAATATACAAAAACTTACTCATATTCTTATTTACCTGAATATCAGAGGCGAGAGTGGAGTTGGGGTCATCAGGCATGGTGGGTGGCGAGAAGAAGTTGAAGAATGAATCAGCCTGCACCGACTTGGTGACGGTACGCACTGAACCACGGGACTTGTGCTTCTGCTTCTTCTTTATCGTCTTCACTGTTACATTCTTGCCCTTCTTCCAGTTGATCTCACAACCCTGGTGATAAAATAAGGATTTTTATTTTCTGTTGTGTGGAATATTGGGCATATGAGACATGAAGACGGGGCATTCAATATTAAAGACAACAACTTTATAGACTTAAAAGACAGAATGAAAATTAACTATTTTTTATTTAGGGAAAACTCAGTGCTAATAAAAAATCATATCTAGCTTGACATAGAGAAAAGGGGCATTTCAATAAAAAAAACCTTAATTGAAAATACATACCTTGCATGAGTAGATCTCGGGACCTTCGAACTCCAGGGGGTTCTCATCATCAGGCTTGCACTTCATTGAATATTCCTTCGTCAAGATGGTGTTTGTGAAGTAATCATTGGGCGCGAAGTGGAATTCCAGCGTGAAACCGATAGGATCCTCGTGCATTTGCACTGAAATATATAAAATATGTTAGGGTATGTGGAAATGGGTGATGATTTTGAGATTTTTTCAAGGATGCCTCAGTTGGTGATGCATGTTAAACAAATCAATCATGATTTATTCTGTGATTGGTGTTGAATGTCATCATAAAATTTCATTTCTAACAAGTTTGCAAACCTTGCAAGACAATCTTACAATTAAAGAGTTAAATATTTACCTTTAATATCCTGCAAACATTTGAGAATGGGTTCGTCATGCTCCTGCATCATCTCACACAGCATAGAAACATTCTTAAATATGGTGTACCAGAAGTCTGGGATGCCCTTAACATTAGGATCCATTGGTGGCCTGAAATATATTCCCTAAGTTAAAACCTTCATCGAGAATCATGAATAGGAACAATTATAAGAATAGAGCCTCAGTTGGTGATGCATGTTAAACAAATCTTATCATGATTGTTCAGTAAATGGTGTTGGTATGTCATCATATAAATTATTGATATTGAAGTCATTATTTCCATGGGACAAAGGCGTGAGTTTATGTATTAGCTTTCCGCCTGTGGGATCAAAACCATAACAAATAATACTAAACCATCCTTAGGAATCACTCTGTCGAATCGTGAAAACTGTAAGAAAATACGTCTGATAGGTTTTGACATTATGGCGTTCATACGGACAGGTCCATCAGGCAGACGCTAAGGAGACCTTTTCAATAATATGTAAACGTGTATACTAACTCGGCAGGTTTCTCTTCAGGTTTCTTCTCCTCAGAACCGTCGGTGATGGCAGCACTCTGCACTGCGCGCGCGAGTTCCTCCTCCTCATTCTCATCGCGCCAAGGGTTCAGGCACTCCTCATCAGTAGGCTCGTAGCCGCCGTTCACAACCGAAGCACGCTATAGGAAAATAAAAAAAAACATCAAAACGTGCTGTGAAGAGTTGAAATTTTCATCAAGTCGAAATAAGTCGCACGTAGTTCGTACAGATTTATTTAAAAACGTATTGTTACGATATTCGCTCAAATTACAAGTAACATCGTACAGTATACGATTTGCTCGAGTTCGTTATACTTTTGTCCTACGTGCGTGTAATGAAAAAAAAAAATGTTTCATCATGGGTGCTAAAGAAATAATAATAAAAATAATCTTAAAATAACATCTGCAGTAATAATTATCAAATATTTTCCACTACATACCTTTTCAAACAGAGGCTTGTACAATTTCTCGTATTTGCACTCAAGCGCATGAACTTCGCTGTAGAACTTAGCCTCGATGTCGACGAACTCTTTCTGCAGAGTGCGCAGAGCACGGATGCGCCTGCGCACGTTTGGTGGCAGAGACGCCATAGCCTCGACGTGGATGCGGTTGGTGATAGCCGCTAACATCTCGTTGCGGGTAATGCCGCTGTTTACAAAGAAATAATAAAGTCAGTTTTTTTATCACCACCTGGATAACACGCAGTGCTAAATAAAGGCCATTCACGTAAGGGAACGGATGAGAAACTTGTTATTATCCCCACTACCCCACGACTGGGATGGTAGTTAGGTCACAGATACGCCACTTTCTGTCTGAACAACCGACATTGTTTTAATATGCAACGTCATCTATTAAAACTACATAATTGAGAACTGAATTAGGCGGCAATGACAAATTTATTGCATTATTCCAAGGTTGCCAATTATTCTGCGAAGCTACGGCATAATAAACTTGATATTATAGTTACAACACATAAGCAGTACATTCCAATAAACATTGGAAATCGTTGAGTTAGTTGTTTCAGAGAATCGAATTATAGTCCATAGACATGGAACAGCGTATAAATAACAAGGCTTCGTTACAGAAGGACGGAATAATAATATAAATTCTGAGAGATACAAGAAAGATAGACGTACATATTAAATTACAAGCCAGCCAGTAATTAATTATTCTTCGGAAAAGTCTCAAAATATCGCATCGTCGTAATACCAACAAGGCATCACGTATCGGCTTACGTACGTCACAACCTGATTTACATTTTCACGACATAAAAACACCAGACTCCTTCATCCCAGCGTAACGCGTTGATTTACAGTATCGGCCCGATTACTCGGAAATAGCCATGTTGTGCAACAAAATAAACAGGCCTTGTAAACATAGGTGTATTACTTCGCAGTCGTAGCAAACAGGTGGATAAACTATTAGATTTTCAGGTAATAGTTTAACTAGAACGGCTGATACTGACAAACTAAGATTTTGAATAACTACTATATTTTTACTATTATATTTCTTTAGAAATGTCTCTGGACCAAGCAGGCGGGTATGAAAAGCAAACATTTTGTTTCTGTCCTATTAGCTATTAACGTTGAGACACATGTATTGCAAATATTGTTTTAATTGTTACCAAGAAGAACCAATTAAACTAGTAGTTTGATCATTCAGTCGTCGTGTGATCGTGTTTAATGGAGTCAGGATAAAATTAAACAGATTTAGATCGTTCGCAATTTGTAGTCGCTAAGACAAGCACAGAGGCAGTTTAGCCTTTCTAGCTAATAGCTTTTGAGTGTCATTTATAAGGTGGTTTTCGTCATAACTATTTCCTAAAATAGTACCTAGATAATATGATTTCTGACGTAGTAGAAAAATAGGTAAGATAATCAATACAGATTTACCACACACAAAAAGACTTTAGTAGATCAATATCTTCAACATTCTTCAACAGCATTACATTGGAAACCAAGACACGGCGAAGAATGTTAAAGTTTTTATTGAAGCTTTGATATGCGCGCACCGACTTTCGATACGGTAACCATGTACAATACATATGCCGATGTTTTTTCTACATTAGACATGATTGCACTTTTTGTATACATAAAAAACGACGTATCTGGCGTTACCAATAGATATTATCTCGCGAAATAAATGACTGAGGCGGCTACTTGTAAACGGAGTAATTAATTACAGATAGCAAATTAAATCTATGACTGGAGCGTGACAGTTAATTGGAATCAATCTTTGTTTTACGTTTATATTTATTTAACGTATTTAATAACACCAATATTTCCGCATGATTAAAGATAATTTACAAAGTTGTGTTTCTGTGTAAATTATACAGGGGAAAAATTAATAATTATGTTAGTCTACCACCTCAATCTAACTTTACGGTCAAAAGTTTGGAACACATGATGAAATAAAAACGGTTATTCTTTCTTAAACCATTTTATTGCAACGTGAAGAACCGGAGAGCAGGGAAGAACCAGTTTTTTGCATATTCATGACGCAGTAACTACATACAATATCGAGTTGGCTTCCTGCGTACACAGTTACGGTCCGAGTTTAAGGTGGGTCGAGCTTCCGTTGTCAGATCAAAAATCAGTTCGAAGATACATTTCGCGAATTAAAGTCTGGATATTTTTTGGACGAAAGTTTAATTTACTCGTTTTAAGACATATTTAATTATTTTTTAAAGTCTAACGAGCAACAGGTGATACAATTTTGTATTATTTTATTTTAAGGATTTTACGGCAATACGAATACCAGCAAAACGAGTTAAATTGCACATTTAATGTTTAAATGCTTAATCTCAATTTAGCCAAATTTTAGACGCCATTTGTGACGACAGACGTGCTAAAGGCGCAATTCGTGCTCGTATGCTTGTACTTGATTTGAGTCTTGGCGATAAAGTACAAAGGGGATTTGACTATTAACAGAGTAATTTACTATTGACAATTAACTCCTATAATGGAAAGCGGTGAATACAGAAGGGGTGCGAAATTGGCAAGCTAATCACATTTCTAAAGCCAAGAAATTATTCCAACAATATGACTTTGAATTGACTGTAACAATAGATTTTTTATAAGTGCTGATACGTATAGACACAATCAATTCTTATTTTATAAAAGGAAGGCCAATCGATTTTTTTAAATGAGCGACCGCACTAACTTTTTTGTTTAAAAGTAGGTACCTAGACTTAAGTCACCTGCTGAATCATTTTACGTATACTTTTTAGTTACTAACAAAGTACCTATAATAGTTTTCTGAAATTTTAACCAATCTAAAATTCATTCGAATTTATTTAATCGAGTCTTATAATTATTTAAACATAGAGAAAGAGAAACAAGATTATGCAAATACAGCCTCTTGGGTGAATTCCTACTTTGGTTTTTAACACAAAGATATTTTGACAACATGCTTCAAACATGGATGAATGTCGAATGTAAACGATTATCGATATTACGTCCGCAGTTCTACCATTGGAGCATCGAGTTTCGTACAACACGCATCTAGTAATTTGCTGGATTTTTTACGTTCATAAATTGCATTTACACTAATATTCATGGTTGGCTAAACGTTGCAGCACTGTGTGCTTATAAATTCCGTCAGCTAGATACGTTTATTGGTTAAGGTGGATGCCTAGTTAGACCTCGCCATACATTTTTCAGGTGCGGAAATCTTCGTAAATAAACAGTTTCTGCAGAAGAAAAGGAACTATAATGAGACTTTATAATGTATTATGTTTGTGTATAGCCCAAATTTTATTAAAAAATTGTATTTCTAGGAGAATTAGACCGAATAAAAAACGATAAGTCTTTGCATGTGTGAGTGACCTGAATCGCGCCATCTGATAGAAATTTATAGAACCACCGAGAAATTTGGTTGCTGTTGTGTTCCGAGTTTACAATTGGTAAACATTCATAATAGATGGCGCTGTCCGATAATTCGAACAAGCATCAATGTGACGTGACGCGTGCGGGAATGCGACGTTGCCGTTCAAGAAGCAGCGCGTGCGCTGTTGCCATTCCGTCCATGCGTGATGTCTTGAATCTTGACAACTTGCGAATCATTTCCAGAATATTGTGTTTCTAGCAAGTTAGCACCGGGCGCGCGGGTTTACCCACGGAGTTAACATTAACGATTGATAAAATGTTTTTTATAATGGGATGAGAATTAATGCTTTACATAAAGTGAAAAAAATATCTCTGCGATGTGTCCTTGGTCTGGTGAGGACCTGCGTCAACCGATAGGTCAGGACGCCGTGATTGCAGCCTGCCTGTACTAGTACACACTAACATTCCTTGACTGCAGATTCAAAAATCTTTGTAATGTATGTAAGTAGATACTGATAACACATTTTCTGATACTCTTAGGTACTAATCCATTGGTTTGGGTTGAATAAAATCAGAGAATAGAATTTGATGTATAAGTAAGTTATAAATCAGGTGATTAGCGAAGCTACCTACACAATAATGAAACGTAGGTACTACGTACATCTATTGATTAAATCATATTTAAATCATGTGAAACCAGTAACATTAGTGAATATACAGACAAACCATTTAAATTTTTCTTAATTGCTTATTTTACTAGTATTATTAGCATGTATACACATACACAAAGTGCGTCAAGCAGGGTTGCCAACTTTATTTTTTGGAAGATTGTACCATACATTTTAAAAGATCGTACTTTGAATTAAAAAATAAATGGCAATAGAATGTGGTATTACTATAACTTCAACGCAAAATTTAACCTTTTGGTATAATATTTAAGAATCCGTACACCAATTTAGCAACGAAACTTTACTACGAGCTTTATTTACTAAAGAAAAGGGGCTCGGAAGAGACTTTGTCATGAAATCCACACGAAACAATAAACACCAGTATCATTACAACTTAAACGGGATATTTACCATGTTTATTATTACTTAAAAAAAATATATTAATAAACACTAGTACATATAACAACAAGTACGGATACTTGTATTATAATGTTTCTTAATGCTTCTTACTCGAATTTTCTTGATTATTAAAGATTCAAATTAAAAGATGTTTTATTTCACACTGAAGAATGTTAGCACAGTATTTTAGCATAGTTTTATAGTATTTAGAATAATTTTGACATTTTAATTCAGTAGCAGTCTCCCAGATTTTGTATTAGTCGTGTTGGCAATTGGCAACACTGCTTAATAAACTTGACTGCACTTGACAACTTGATGGTGGTGTTAGATTAGATCTGCTATTACAAATTTCTTGAAACATTTCATAAATAAGATACATTTGATGTTGAGATTGAATTGCAACTGAACTGCCTAAAATGAACCCGACTAATAAACTTGCGTGTATACGACATACTATGTATTCAGGGCCGCAAAATTCAAGGAAAAAGGTGCAAGCCGCATTCATAAGACATCATGAAAGTTCTTTTAGTGATCTATAGTGAAGAAATCAGATTACTATAGGATTTCAAATCAGATTTACGTGAGTGAAGTTTATTTGATACTCATTGGTTTATGTTCTAGAAAAGGTCGTTATGCTCGATAAGGTTAGTACCTATTATGTATTGAGAAAGTTTTAACAAATTGCAGAATAATGATTGTCACTTTGTTCATTTTAGGTATGCAAACGTCGTAATGCCACGGTCAGAGCGTAGCAAAGGGTGTGCAAGGAGTTTAGGACTTTATTTTTCATTTTCATCAAGAATGAAAATTCTTATAAATGGCTAGTTTTTCATTTTCACTGATTAGTATACCTAATAATAAAGCGAAAATCATTTGGACACCTTTTATCTAGGCCTTATGAGGGTCACAGTTCTAACCTAACCTAACCAAATGTGTTGGGGTGCCCAAAAAGTGTTTTACATACTCCCCCAACTGACCTTTAGGGCTCAATTTCAGGCGAACCTGAAGTAGATAAAAAGTGCCCAGATATTAGTCATCTTATTTTTAGGTATACTAAACGATAGAAATGAAAAACCGAGCCACGTATAAGAATTATCATTTTTGATGAAAAAATAATTAAAAGTCCTAAACTCCTTGCACACCCTTTGCTACACTCCAACCAATGCCACACCATGTCACAATCATGTGAAATGCATTCTCTATAAAAATAATATTTGTACTAAAGATATGATGTATGGAAAACAAAATGAACATGTTGCATAGAGCATGTTTATGCAATAATATGGCAAATAGTCAGGCCATCAGGACTTTTCATTAATGAAGCATTTGGATTCTTAGTAGCTAGCCCTGATGGTAAAATTATTCGATAATAAAAATATACAAATAACTAGTTTTTGTCGCGTGAATATTTTAAATAGGGTTCAGTAGCGTAAGCCTAAAAACTTTTCTTTTTTACAGATATTCAAAATATTCGATAAGCATCAGAAAATAGAAATTTTCCTATTCATTTGGAAAATGATGTTTTAGTTATGAACAAAAAGCATAATACTATTATCAAGTAAGTATATCATTATTATCAAATATCATTATTATTATTTCATTATTATCAAATATCATTATTTCTTGGTATGTGTATAAAAATAATGTATTTCTTGGATTGTTTCTTTTTAACAGCTATTATTATTTTGATTCTAGGTCCAGGGTCAATTGCGAATTACCAAAATGAATAAATGTTACTTCATTTGCTATATATCAGTCACCCAACCATTGACTGTCATAGAAGTTAACCAGAATGAGGAATTTATCAGTACTATGATGCCGAAGTTGGTGACAGTTTTTAAAAGATAAAATAATTTCCGGCATACACACTGCCGGAAATTATTTTGAGAAGAGTTGAGAAAAATGCTAAATGTCTGGACATCAAGGAATTAAAAGGTATAAAAATATAAGTCTTATTCATTTCCTAACTTATTTCTCAGGGCTCTGAGGTGTGGGTTCAGTAAGAATAGTCTAACAAAACTGTGTAAATTCATTTGTTGCAGCGAAAACTGCGTCTTCCAGCATTTGATTCAGATTGCACGGAAATTATAAATGGAAGTAAAAAGCGATAAACAGAAGACTGATATGGCGCGGCGGTGGCGGCGGTGACTGCAAAAAGAAGATATTTTATTATAATATATAAGAATCTTTGTATGGTGGTACGAGTTGATTGTTCGAATCCAGCCGGCACTTTGCTTTGTGTAGCCTGATTCTCAGCAGTGTGAACATTATAGAATAATTAATAAGCTATTTTTGCACGTAGCTATGTATAGTTTGTGTTATTTTGTTAGTCCATAAGATTTTTCTGTGTAGATAAGTTTGCCTCATGCATTTAGGTACCAGCCTAACAATTCAATTGTAAAACAATATTTATTGAAGTTCAAAATTGTAAAATAAATAGGTATTCTTGAAACATAAATAAATGTTATGGTTAGCTAGCAACCACTTGTGCGATGTATAGTTTGTGTTATTTTGTTAGTCCATAAGATTTTTCTGTGTATATAAGTTTGCCTCATGCTCATAAATGGTACCAGCCTAACAATTCAATTGTAAAACATTATTTATTTAAGTTCAAAATTGTATAATAAACATGTATTCTTGAAACATAAATAAATGTTATGGTTAGCTAGCAACCACTTGTTGTTGGTTTTATGACTGTAATGTTATACTAATTAATTAAGAAATAAATAAATGTAAGATACTTGCAAACTTACATGTGCCGTTATATATACTTATGATGTTATTTATATTGTGATCTACATACATAATAATTCTTTCTAATACTAAATTTAAAATTATAAAACTAAGTAAATATCAAAACAATTAAAAAATTATGTTATCTTTGTATGGTGGTATGACTCCATGGTTTGAATCAGATGGAAACTATCTAAGTAAATGTAGTGAGAGTAAATAAAACGATTATTTTATGAAAATGTTAACTTAGTTTTACTAAATAAATATTATTAATTTATAGTAAGGTACAATAAAAAGCTTTACAATGGAATAAATAGTCTTTCATTTATTTATTTAGTAAAGTCACTATTTACACATTACAATTTAGGTTCAGTCACATTACAACAATTTTTTAGGTGTAGGGTCTTTTTTTTTTTTAAGGGGGGAAAATCATCGAATGACTGCTCCCGCCTGGGTGAGGCGGAAGGGAGTGTCAGACTCTTACTGACTAAAAACCACCCCGTTCCTTTTCCTGCACGTCGAGCCGGAGCCCCGGTTACCCGTTAGGTTCTCCGCGACAGGTGTAGGGTCTAGGGGTATAGTATATAGTGTACAGTGTAGGTACCTATTTTACCTAAAATAAATTTTATGAATAATTTGCTAGATATCGAGTCTAGAAACAAAAGTATACTTAGACCAATTATTATACTAATAAGAAATAGATGGGAACATAATTTCAAGTATGTAAATTAATATTTTTATAGTATAACGACATCTGGTGGTGTCGAAAGTTACTACTATTTACTTTGCATGTGTGTGTAAACAGTAAAGTGAAGCGGCTAAATCTTTATTTTGTAGTAATCTTTGTATGAGACCAGATAACAAGCACAACGACTATCTAAAAAATCAAGTTAATGCCCTAGGTTTCGCGAACAATAAAGTTATCTATTAAAGATTTCGAAGTTAGGCGTAAAACGTGAAAATGTTCCAAATTGTGGAAGTTACGCCATCTAGCGACAAAATGGCATTTGAGATCATCATCCATCCACCTTAAGTAGAGCGTAAAATGACTCATTCGTTCATTGACCCGTAATCTCATCTTGACGACTCGCGCGTTTTTGTAGATGCTCTTATGCAGCAGACTCGTCTTTAGATGTATGTTAAAGATATCGAATAGAAATTCGCTGCTGAAAATGCTTGCATTGCTAAAATTTGTGCAAATATGAAATTTAAAGACGAACTTACGTTTTCACGATCTGGCTAAAGATTTTGGGTCTTGAGTTTCAGTAAAAATCTTCGATCAGAATCAAAGATTTAGGATTAAAACCAGAAATAAATTTCGGGTGTTAGTGTAGTTTTGTGGCCATAGCCATAGAAGCGACAGACCTTGAGATTTCGGTTTCGGTAGTTGTCACATTGCCCTAATAATTTGAGATTTGTTTGCAAGACTTTCAGTCAAGGTCCACCTTGGAATTCTGCCAGTGTTGACAATAAAACTGGAGTGTTCTATAAACTACATACATGTACTATTTATCCCTTTTATAAAACTCCATACAATCTCTATAAAAAACTATGTCGAGGCTGTAGGAGTTAAAACTAAAATTATAATCATTGATGTTCAAAATGAGTTGAATCAACCAATGGACTGTTGAAACGTTTTATAATGTGGTATCCAGGAAGTGAATCATCTGAAATGAATTTAGGAGCTTTATGTGAGCAATATGATGTAATCATTTTAATAGGGAATTATCTATTATAGGGCTAGGAATGTTTATTTAATGATTGTGTAATTCTGAGGGAATGTTAATAACTATTTTTAGCAGTTTTTGAAAGATATGTTTCAGTAGTTTACAGGTCTGTTATTTGAAATAAGTCTTACTGAAGAATACTTGTGACACATGCATATGAAATGTTATAGTTAAACCAACAGTAACTTAGGTCCTCAGCAGTAGTGATACAGGCTATAAATGAAAGTAAATTATAGTCCCACAACCACACCAATTAACCCATTGAAAATTGTTGAAAATCATCCCCTAAATTTGTTCATACAAAAGTAGTCTCTAAACATTGGAAATAAGGTCTAAAATGTAGTTAGTGGAGAGTGGTCACCGGTGATTACTTGGCGATATACGGGTTAAATATTACTTAGCTTCATTTTGTCTTGTATTGCTTTTGTCTACCACCTAAGTCAAAGTTATAAAGTATTGAGGAAACAAATTGCACAACATTATATTCGTAACTCCTTGAATTTTGGAGATTTGAAATTGAATTATGGAATAGTGAAATTTAAATGGATTCGTTGTTCTTCAGTGTCAGCATGGTCAATGTATTAACTTTTTTTTCTACAGATTAGATTTTGTGGTCAAGGTGGTTCCTTAGTAGCAGTTTCAAAGGACTTATGATCCCATATCAAGTCACAAAAATAACTTCAAGTTAAAAGAAATACATCTACCTACAGTTAGATAAAGTAAAGCATGGGACATGCTTTAACCTGTATTGTCAAAATAAAATCCGTGCATCTTCTAAAACAATAATTATCTCCGCGAATTCAAGTTAATGAAATAACTATTTATAATGTAAATAACCCAATGAGATTAAATTGATGAACTGTAAAATTGTAACCATTTCTTTGTTGAATGAAAGGAGTACTTATGTCAACACATGTGGCTGACAATGACAAGTAGTAAGGCTAAATGCAGGACTAACCTAAGTATACACGCTTTTACTGACCTTTTCATGAGGTGCTGAGCCAGCTCGCCACCCCCTACAATTTCCTCCTCCTCTCCAGACTCCACCTCGGAAGTGTGATCATCACCAGCGCGTTCCACTGTACCCATGTTTATATCTAAAACAAGAACACCATGTTAGCACAATGCCGTTCGCGCCACGTTGGTTACATTACCGGCTTCCGACAAATACTTTTACAATCAATATCTCAACGCTACACTGTCCCGCCAAATAGCATATATCTACTCAAATAACGTATCTAACAACCATACAACATGATTTTCTACGTAAAACATAATGCGTAGTTCGTTGAAAAACCATTCGGGCTGACCACATGGCCGACTTGGTTCTTGCACAATTTAGAAAACTATTACCTCTTACGCAATACTGACAGATTTTCAAAGCAAATTGTATAGCGTTTTGTAGATTTTTATTATCACTATTACGTTTTATTTAACGAAATATTCCAATTTTACAACGTACCTTACTGCCGACAAAAGTTGTGAAAAGAAAGATGGCGACGGAATGCGGCGAATGAGTGACCACAGTGACTTGAAATGTCGTGTCGGTGGCCGGGGAATGAATTAAAGAATGAATGACTCAGTATGAAACTGGCAAGTTTACCGTTTCCGGATTTCTTTTTTGTACGTCGAAATAAATTTTCAAAGATGCGAAAGGCAAATGAGTGGGGCATCAAATTTCACTCTTGCTAATAGTTTCAATTTTCAGTTTTTTCACTTTATTTCTGTAAAATTCCACCGATATTATAAGACAAAAGTTTAAAATTTTTGGTTAATGTTGCTATGCTAGTTTTTTTTCATGAACTTTTTGTCCTGTGTCAACTTCATAGTTTATTTCATTCATTCATTCAGTCACTGTCAAATAGTACAAGACTGTCAACTGTCAAAAGTCAATTTGTCATATACATCATCACGGGAAAATAATACTGTTGCGTTGTTTTTAGTTTGTGGCTTGTGGCAGTGGTAATTTCAAGGGAAAGCGCAGTTTTGTAGTGAAAATGTGTAGTGTAGATTAATATTTGTAACATAAATAGCTTTGTGACATGTTTTGAATAAGAAGTGAACTATTAATCAGTGAAAAATGCCACCTACCGTACAAACAAATGAGCCGGAAAGAGACAAACGTCCACAACGGACAGGCGAAAGGAGGTTAGTATATTTTCATTTCAACCTTACAAAGAGGACTAATAGTTACATTAATCGTAATAATGTTAAATTATTTATAGATCGGAGCTAGTGACACGTGTAAAATACTGCAATACCCTCCCAGACATACCTTTTGACTTAAAGTTTATCACGTATCCATTTTCATCAACAAGATTCATACAATATAATCCGACCTCCTTGGAAAAGAATTATCGGTATGAAGTACTTACGGAGCATGACTTGGGTGTGCACATTGACCTGATAAACCGGGACATATATCAAGGAGACGGCAATGCTGTACTGGATCCCGCTGACGAGAAACTATTGGAAGATGACATCCTCACTCCTCAGGATTCAAAGAGGTCGCGACATCATGCTAAGAACGTATCATGGTTGCGTCGCTCCGAGTATATCTCTACTGAGCAGACTAGGTTCCAGCCTCAATCTATGGAGAAGGTATGTTATTCTTTTTCTCGTTTTTAAAACCTGTTTTTGTTCAATGATGATGTATCTAGTATTTTATACTAAACAGCTCACAATATACATCCAGCTGGCTTCTTAATAGAATGTATCATCTTTTTCTCGTTTTTAAAACCTGTTTTTGTTCAATGATGATGTATCTAGTATTTTATACTAAACAGCTCACAATATACATCCAGCTGGCTTCTTAATAGAATGTATCATCTTTTTCTCGTTTTTAAAACCTGTTTTTGTTCAATGATGATGTATCTAGTATTTTATACTAAACAGCTCACAATATACATCCAGCTGGCTTCTTAATAGAATGTATCAACTTTTTCTCGTTTTTAAAACCTGTTTTTGTTCAATGATGATGTATCTAGTATTTTATACTAAACAGCTCACAATATACATCCAGCTGGCTTCTTAATAGAATGTATCAGTTGTATAACTAATCAAGTTGTTTGTTAACTACCAAACTTGTACTTGCAGTTATCCTATCTGCTTGATTTTAATATGATTTACACTAAAATAAGGGAATTATCTTAACAGACAAATTGGAATTAAAAATCCAATGTCCTATAATAAACATATTACATAACATAACATCTCACCTTTTATCCCCAAAGGGGTAGGCAGAGGTGCGCATTATGCCATTGTATAATGTAACACCCACTTTTTACTAATAATGTTATGAGTCCCATGTAATAGGGAGTGAGCCTATTGCCATATACCGGGCACAATTCCAGACTCTGTGCTACTACTGAGAATTTTTAAAAACCCAGTAAAACTTTGCATGAATCAGGAATGAAACCCAAGACCTCTTGCCGGGCAGTTGCACTTGCGACCACTCGGCCAATGATACAGTCATATATATGCCTATAATAAATCAACATTTTTAATCACAACAGGTTGAAGCGAAAGTCGGTTACAATGTCAAGAAGATCTTCAGTGAAGAAACTCTGTACATGGACCGCGAGAGTCAAATCAAAGCTATTGAAAAGACATTTGAGGACAACAAGAAGCCTATAGAGAAACATTATAGTAAGCCGGGAGTTACTCCAGTGGAAATTATGGAAGTATTCCCTGACTTCGATATGTGGAAGTATCCTTGCGCTCAGGTCATATTTGACTCAGACCCGGCGCCTGCTGACAAGAACATTGCTGGACAGATCGAGGCTATGTCTCAGGCTATGATTCGGTGAGTGGTTTTGTTCTTGTAATCTTGTATTGTGATTATCTGATTCAGTTAGAGATTTGATTGCTAAAATGTTAATAATTGAGGATACTATATATTGCTACAATTTAACTGATAGATTGAAGTTTATTTCATGTTTTTAAGCCATTTTGTGTCTTTCATATGAAGTTGTACTGTTTAAATTTCTCAGCTTATAAAACTACCATATCTTCTTATTATAAATTTTTTGTCATGTTTTTTTTTCTAGAGGTGTGATGGATGAAAGCGGCGAGCAGTTTGTGGCCTACTGCTTACCCACTGAGGAAACAATACAGAAACGTCGCCGTGATATTGCTGAGAACATGCTCTACATGGACGGTGACACATATGAGTACAAAATGGCTAGAGAGTACAACTGGAACGTCAAGAGTAAAGCCTCTAAGGGTTATGAGGAGAACTATTTCTTGGTAAGTCTATATCTTTAGCTTTGTTTTAATAAAAATATTGATTGTGACTGGGATTTCGTCTGGTATTGTCAGTATTTTTATAAACACAATCCAGGAACTGCAATTTATGGATTGTTGTAGATTCAAATCTACAACACATTGCCCAATAACCATACTCCTAGCCAATGCGCCAACCATGCAGTCTTATCTGCTTAAATTTTTAACTTAAAGATTAGGTATAACACGTATTAATAGGTGGACTCAATTCCACAAGTATTAAGAGGTCTTTTTTTAACATATTAACTAATTTCTTTGACAGGTTATTCGCAACCATTGTGTCTACTATAACGAGTTGGAGACCCGCGTACGCCTGTCCAAGCGGCGCGCTCGCGCCGGTGTGGCTGCGCAGGCGCTGACTCGCTTGGTCGTCACACATCGACCGCTTAGCGCACCGGAACATCGCATGCTTAGGTTGCGAGAGAAACAACTTGAGCCGCCACAGGTGAGTTTTAAGAGATTACTGATCTTATTGCTACAAAAATAAGTGCCATTTTTAACTGCTTTTATTACAGTACAGATGTATCAGTATTCAATTGATTTTCGACTTTATTGTAAATCCAGAGAGTCTGTATTTCAAATGTGGACGCCCCATTAGACAGACTGTCTGCTTTTTACTTTACTCTAAAACTGTGATAACTGATCACAATCATGTGACGACTTTTACCTTTGCGAAAGTCAATTGACAACTCAAAATATCTAAAACATATTGAGTAAGATGATTTGTTTTAATTTTAGGAGGAAGACGAAGAAGAGGAGGAAGATGATGACGATGATGAAGAGGATAAGCAGGAACAAAATGGAGAGAAGGAGAGGTATGTAGATGCTTTCACACAAAACCTATTGAATGAATCTCAATGTTGGCATTGTTTGATAAAGACAGATATCTTAAATAATACATTAAGCGCCTTCTAATAAGAAGGCGCTTAATGTATTATTTAATATATTAAGTCTTTGCCTATGAAATTACTTTTCTGCAGTACTGACCATTTCAAATCAAAATAAATTTTGGTTGAGTAAAAATTCTAACTTTAAATTCATTTTATTAAATACATGAAAGTTCGTGTAATTATTATTATTTAGAATAAGACAGATGCTCTTACTAAACCTTTAGCTAAATCAAAACAAGCAAAAAGCTTATATTTAACCCAAAAAGTAATATAAAAAATCTCTTTCATTTTCAGATCACGATCCCGTTCGAAATCTGGATCAAAATCGCCTCAAGGATCAGATCGGTCCAAAGCTTCAAAATCAAGATCAAGGTCTGGATCACGAGATCGCTCCCGCTCGAGATCCAAATCCAAATCAAAATCCAGAAGTCGTTCTCGTTCTGGATCCGGTTCCAGAAAGTCCAGATCACGTTCTGGGTCCGCACGTTCGGGGTCTGCGAGGTAAGAATCTAAACTTTCTACTATATAACATTTTAATGACCTCTAAGAAGTTATTTATTTAAAGTACATAGTTATTATTACCATACTGATTGAACCATTTAAAAATTCATCAATTATCATTCGGTCATTTCCAGGTCCGGTTCAGCTCAATCTCGTTCCCGCTCCCGCTCTCGTTCCCGATCTCGTTCAAAGTCTGGTTCCCGCGCATCATCGCGAGCATCTTCCCGCGCGAGCTCTAGGAGTGGAAAGGGATCTCGTGCCAGTTCTGCAAGTGGAAGGGGCTCCAGAGCCAGCTCTAAAGCCAGTGGCAATGTAAGTCTTCATTTGAATGTATAATACAGTCTGTTTGCCAGCGGAAAAGTCAATTATAAACTCGAAAATAAGTCATTGTAAGTTTGACTTTGATAAGCATAAATACTACTTTTATTGATGCAAAAGTTATGAGGGTTTTTAATTTACCTAAAACTGCTTTAGAAATAAGTCACATTTAAAGATAGACTAAACTGAATAACTGACAAAATTAATAAACAATATTAATCCAAACTCCAAATCTCGAGTTATGACAGAACCTCCATAAAACTAATATCAAAATTTTATTCTATTCCAAAAACATAAAACTAAAGTTATCAATGCTAATCCACACCTTACTTCCCTAGGGTTCAAGAGCAAGTTCCAGGGCAAGTTCACGTGCCTCATCTCGGGCAAGCAAACGATCCTCGCGAGCATCCTCGAGAGGATCCCGTGCCTCATCCAAGTCTAAAGCTTCAGGCTCCAAGGCATCTTCTCGGGCAAGTTCTAGAAGAAACTCTGGCTCTGGAAGTGGATCGGACAGGTCAAGAAGTAGATCTGGAAGTGGATCTAGGAAGGTAAGAGTTTATTAATTTACTTTAGAGAAAAGAGCGTCCTATTTCTTTTTAAAAACCCGACATTTTTTTACTGTGCTGCTTGGCATTGGAAGGTGATCCATCTACTCGTTTACTCTTCTCATTCCATAACACTAACTCAAATTAATAATTTGGTTTAGAATCTTCATCCTTAGCCATAGTTGTTTAGGTCTATATTAGGATGTTTAATTGCACTGTTTTGTAAAGGGATTAAATAGGTTTTCAAGGGTCGGTAATGCTCATATAAAGCCCCAAGTTTTGCACGCGTACATAGGCCACGATAATCGCTTACCATCAGGTGGCCCGTGTGGTTTTTTACCACCATCGTAGTATAAAAAAAATACGCATCTCAGAAATTATCATTTATTCCTTTAAATTGTCTGTATCTTACAATTTCTCAAACTCAAACATTATTTAAATATTATATTTTTCCTTTGCTTCAGGGTTCCCGAAGTCGTAGTGGATCGGCATCTAGTGGATCATCACGACACAGCGGCTCTGACTAAACTGACAATTAATTACATCAACATTTATAGTAAGGGTATCTGCGCAAATATATGGAGGTCTATTCGAGTGACGTAAATTGGTACATAGATCTAGCATTTTTCACTTATCGGCAGATGATTTAGCCATTTCTATATCATTATCTGTGGTTTACTGCGGGACGTGAGCGTCTTCTTTGGCGCACCACAACATACTTCTTTTTTAAGGCGGGGGGAAACTTTCATAAGACCTCTAGCTTTTTGGGGAAAAATACTAGGGAGTGTTGGATTCGGAACTCACTTAAACCGAGCCGGTGGCCACCCTCAGCACCTGTAAGGGGCACTAGATCCTCTGAAAGAGACCTGCTCCGCAGTCCCCACGGTGCAACACTTACAGCACATCATTTGGAACAACATACGTCCTAATATACTGTCTCTAAAATGTACGACACTAGAGTAAATCTCCATTTATTATCGTGGGCTACCTACTACTAAAATTGTGTTCACTATTATTGAATGTTTGGCTTCAATCCGAACCCTTGTATAGAATAAATTCAATAAATATTAATAAAAAATTTGGTATTTTTTTTTATAAGTTGTGAAATGTTTTTGCGCATTACATTTCTAGTTTGCGCAAGTGGAAATTATTTTCTTTCCTTACCTCGTAACTTCGTCCATATCGATTAGTTACAATGGAGGTACTGTTTTTTTGCTTACCCATGACGCTAATCTGGCAAGAAAAATCTTTGTCCAATCACTGTAGCTGTCGAAAATTGAACATTCAATGGCTAATTCCCTATTTTTTTAAATCATCGTTGCCCCGCTCTAGGATCTTCAGAGAAGAAAATCTCTCTCTCGGAGGTGGGTGAGTGTGGTAAGTAAACATACACATGACACCCAGACCCAGAACCACAATCTGTGGCGTGCGGGATTCGAACCCACGACACGTTGCACGGCAGCCAGTTCAACCAACCCAGCTACCGCACCAAGCTTGCAGTCGTTTTGTCTTTTTGTCCAATCACTGTAGCTTGTTTAAATTGAACATGTAAAGTCTAATTTCGTATTAGACGAAGGACGAGAGGTCCACACTAGTAGTGGCCCCCATTAAAATAAGCCAAGTAACTATTATCAAAATTCTTTTAGTAGTTCAGGTTGGAACAGACAGAATAGGGATGATGACAGGGTATGAAAATTAAAAATCTAATTAGTCCGTCAGTTAGGTAATGATCACTCAAAATATGAGTGTGGAACGTAATATAGAATCACGTTTGTACGACACTACTGGATGCAGAAAGCATGGCTCATAGAAATTTCTATTCCCAGAAAGCACGTTTCGCCGAAAACTTTATTGTTAGAAAATATTGTTCGTAGATATCTCGTTCCATAGAAAGCACTAGCCATAGAAATCTTTATTCCTAGACAGCTCGTTTTGCCGAAACCTTTGTTGGTAGAAAATACTATTCGTAGATATTCTGTTCATAGATAGAATTTTTCACCTTGATTCACAGAAAGCAAAGGTAACTATGAATATGCATATGAACAAAATGGAAATAAAGGTATTTATTTGTTATTTCCATTTTGTTCATATGAATAGAAATTTCTATGAGCCATGCTTTCTGCATCCAGTAGTGTCGTACAAACGTGATTCTATATTACGTTCCACACTCGTATAATTTGAGTTTATAGTAGATAATTAGGCAAGAAAACAAAATACAATTTTTATAAATATTTTATTAGTGCAACATTCACTTGATTACATAAAAATAGAAGGAACAAACATTGTTACGTATTGTTTATATTTGGAGTCATCTGTATAAAATTGTCACACATTTTTATTTTATATATAAACGAAAATAATTTTGTAATTCATCAATGTGGTAAAAATTTACTTTTGATACATAGTCTTAGTAACAAAATTGGTTGTTCATAAGTTACCTATGTGAATAAAGTTAGATTAATTCATAGATGGAAGAATATCCCAAGCAATAGCTACAACAATGTTAGTCAAATTATACTAAGCAATCTCACTCTAGCAAAAACGCATTGTAATAAATAATACCTACAAATAAATTTAATAATTTTACTTTCAAAATACAAATTTTAAAATAATAGTTAGCCTAAACTGGTACCATATAAATGCTAAATAGCAGAAATGAGGAAGATTCCGATTTGACACGTAAATTCAAATAGATAAGATCGAAATTTGCTTAGGGAGTCAAAACTAGTGAAAACAATACCTATATATAAAATAAAATATGCCAATAAGTGACATTTTCAATTGTATAAAAAACTTCTAATTATTTTGCAGTCTTTTAGGAATCAAATAAAGATATTTTGGCATTTTTATTTTGTGGTATTTCATTTTTTACCATCATTATGTTCATAGCTGAACATTATGTAGTTATCTCTCAATGACTATTATATATCGGTCAGTTGTAGACGGTCGAAGCGACATGCATCTAGCGGCTCCTTGCAATCTTTGTTAGCTGACCTTTCTGATTTTTTTTATTTAAAACACTTGTGATTAAATAAATTATTATTATGTACTTGATATTATTAACTGTAAACGTTCTACGCTTCTAAAGAGTTTCTATAATATGAATGCTTAGCTTTATAAATTGGGGTTTTAGGTAAAGGCACCAGTGTTCACTACACGAACATTGCTGAAATTGTCGAGTAAAGGTGCTGCCTCACCGGGAGCATTCGCGTGTAATTTAATGTTACAGATCTGAGCACTACATCAGAGAAGGAGGCGAACCGAGCATTACAATGCGCACCTTGTAATGATACAATGTGTAATATCTTGATACAACTTGTAACTTCAATGTCTGACATCTTGCTATGAAATGCTCAAAGTCGAATCTAATGTTACATTACACGTGAATGCTCCCGGTGAGGGAACACCTCTATAATTGTATTGAACTATTATAACTATTTTAAAATGCAAACTAACTCAGCTGTGTTGGTCAGATACGTACTCGAAGTGTCTTTTCGATAGAAGAATACATAATGGTTAAATTTAAAATTTGTTAAAGAATATAATATAGACCAATGGCTAGTTATTGCTTACAAGTCAATTTTAATAATATGTACCTATTATATTGAAAAAGTTACACAATGTAAATATTATACTTTATTAACTTTTTAATTTATTTCATTTTTTTAACAATATGAATGTGTTAAGCACCAATTGACTAGGCTAATAAGATTATTAAAATATTATTATCTTTTTATGAACTGAATATATTATTTATTGTAATATGTTCTTTAGGCGGATAACAATAATTATTTGTTTTGTATAATATTGAAATTGTAGTCTTTTTATTTAAATTGAATTAATTTTGAATATAAAAAATAAGGAATGGATATCACGGAACTTTTCTGACGGTATTATTACTAAGAAAATACTGTTAGGAGTTAAAGAACGTTATCCCGTACAAAATATTAGGAAGCACCTTAATGTTTAGTTAAAATGCATTTAGATGTAAAGAAATTGGAAAACATCTATCGAATTGGTACATCAATTACATCACTCACAATCAATTATATTTGTTGCCAGTCTAAAATATTTTATTCTACCAATTTTGGAAGAATTTTTGTTTTTTGTAGAAAATATCTTTGTTACTGAATTTTTTAACGGAATTTGATTTAAAATTATTGTACTAACTACAAAAGAAAGGTTGCGTGAAGTAATCGTTGATCTAATAGGGATGATGACGAGGTACGAATAAGAATAAATCTACTTTGTTCGTTAGTAATGTAATAAAAATATTAAGCATATATACTTGGCTCATGAAATTCATTAAACACTATGGTTATGAAGCGCGTTTAACACGTTAAACGTCATGGGGGTTACCGGTGACCGGCGTTAGCGGAGGATTTACCTTCAACAGTTTTTTATTGGCAGTGAGTCTTAAGGGATAAATTATAGCTTAGTATAAAATGCACTAGGGTGTGACGTCATCCCATATCGACTTGACTTTTTATTATTTTCTTGGTTTTGTACTTTTTCGTCTCGTCACAAGACATTGACAAAAACCGTTTTTATTTTTATTTTTTTTTAAGTTTAATCATCGAGGCACTGCTCTCGCCTGGTCGAGGCGGGAGGGAATGCCAGACTCTTACTGACTAAAAACCACTCCGTTCCTACTCCTGCCCTTCGAGCCGGAGCCCCGGCAACCCGTTAAGTACTCCGTGGCTCCGTATCGGAATCAGCCCTTGACTTTGACTTTGCGATCCCCGACGCCCGGAGTGTCCTTTGCTGACAAAACCGGTATAGGCTCAATAAGGTAATGATATCGTCATCATCCCTACTCGAAAATTATTATTATTAAAACATTAGTTTACGTACAAATACAGATAAAGCTTAGTTTCTACTGAGTTCTTCAGACACAATGTCCATGTAATGTGAAGTGAAGACGGCCTTGTTATGCATTACGTACCGGAGTAGTGTTCCTGACACTGACGTCAGCTCCCTGGCTAGAGCTGAAAGCCCCACAGGGATCTGACGAGACCCTCCACCACAGACAAGGATGGTTTTCAGAAATTCTAAGACGCGCTGACCTGTGGAGTTTATAAGAGATATTTTATGAGTTAAAGATATTTTTAGAGAAAACTGTGTGCAGAGTCGTATATTAATAGATTTCCAACTTTATTAAAAAAAGGATAAGGTCGAAAATCGATCGAGACAGCTGTTCCAGGGTATAATATGTTACTGCCTGAAAATGTAGCAATTGTATTTAAACCTCAAGATAACTTTGTCTAGCTTAAATACCTGTATCTCAAGACTAACCAGGATTTCGACCTATTAACCTACAAGTATGAATTACAGAAAGTTCATTTAATTAACTTGGAATTGTTAAAATTAAAGTTAAAATACTGTATAACATTACATTAAATCCTTACTAATATTATAAATCGGAAAGTGAGTTTGTTTGTTTGTTCCGACTTTACGCCGTAACTACTAAACCGATTGCATTGAATTTTTGCAGACATAAAGTTAGTAGTCTGGATTAAACAATAGGGTTTTTATCCCGAAAACATTTGATATTCCCGAGGGAAAACAAAAGTATTGGTATAGATGGCGCTGTATGTATTGGTATATGTCACATAGGCTAATTTTTATCCTTTTGTGACGCGAGCGAAGCCGCGGGTAAAAGCTAGTTACAATCTAAAATGAATAGGTACTTACGAACAATCTCCCGGACTCTATGCTCAGGGTCTCCGAGCGATAGGATCTGTGTCCTGATGATCTCCTTGGTCTCACCCGTCAATGGAGACTGATTGAGGTTCTCCAGAAGCTGTTCCGTCACCTGGATAATTTCTTCAGCCAATGATGGTAGCACTTGTTTTAATTCTCTGTAATATACACGTAGTAGTAGGTTACTATATTATTATGACTGCCTCGTTGGCCGAGTGGTCGCAATTGCGACTGCCGGTTAGTGGGTCTCGGGTTCGATTCCCGGGTCGGGCAAAGTATTACTGGGTTTTTAAAAAAAATCTCAGTGGCAGCACGGAGTCTGAAACTGCGCTCGGTATATGGCAATAGGCTCACCCCCTATTACATGGGACTCATAACATAAATAGTGAAAAGTGGGTGTTACTTTGTACATGTTTTTACGCAAATAAATGTCTTTATCTTATCTTTATCTTTACAGTGGTATAATGTGCACCTCTGCCTACCCCTTCGAGGATAAAAGGCGTGATGTTATGTATTTCCTTGATGATGATGATGATATGATTCCTTTTATCGCTGTAAGCTTTTAGACGAAGCTATTAAATAACTATTTTATTGTAGCGAACCTTTAAACAGGGTTATGTGCAGTATAGTGGATATAAAATGATTTTTAACAGAATCTACAACTCCTTTTAATAGAAGAAAAATTATAACAAAACAGCAAACAAAATCACCATTGAAAAGATAAGTCTTCAGTAAAACCAGCCTCAAGATCGGTTCAGCCTATTGCGAGATAATCGCGGACAAACATACAGACAGAGCGCACATTGATTATAGATGATTAGAAAGAAAGAAAGAAAATCCATTTATTTTTGCGCAGAACACACATAACATAATTAAAAATAAAATAAAATAAAATTCTAAAGAAAAATTAAAAATTAAGTCTTGTCCATGGTCCACAGACCTGAAATGGTAGACTACAATATTCTATTATTATCTGTGGACCATAGACAAGGAACACCCTTCTTACTTCATTCATAGTAACATAGTGTATAAAATTGTTTTGCTACACTGATAAGCTAAAGAAATATGTTTCTATGTTTAACTACAATAAAAACAATACGAAGCCATTAATACGATTATAAAAAGCTTTAATGAATACTCACATATCATTGCTAGTATTATCAATGAGGATCAGTATCTTCTCCTTCAGAGCCTGTTTATGCGCAGCGGCGGCAGTTTGGTCGCTGCCACAGGCTGGACTGGCCAGCATCAGGGACGCGACGCATATCAGTCGGTACACCTGGGTGCCGAGCTCAGCGAAACGCGGTGCGTCCAGTGCTACTGTCTGTATAAAAACATGGTGTATGTTAAGTTCATTGAGTAAAATAACTCAGCTAGCCGTGTGGTTACGGTGATGACTGATGACAGACTAAAACACATTTGTCCTCAGCAATACTTACACCCGAATATTGGAAGGCTATTCAACTTTAAGTTGTAGTAAAATATCGTGGTATCTCTGTAATTTTACATAGAATTGGAATGACAAAACTATACTTAAGCGCGACTTAAGAGTGACTTTTGAGTATTTCAAGCGCGCGAGTAACGATACGAATAAAGGACTGCGCATTGGCAGTGACTGGCCAGTTTCAGGCAGGGCTTCAACTCGCCTTCTTGCAAAGGGGGAAAATCATCGAATGACTGCTTCCGCCTGGGTGAGACGGGAGAGTGTCAGACTCTTACTGACTAAAAACCACCCCATTCCTTCTCCTGCCTCGAGCTGGAGCCCCGGCAACCCGCTAAGTCCATCGCAGCCCAACTCGCCTGCCAAGTGCAACAGATTATGGTAAACCCCTCCTTACATAGGAGAGGTTTACCATAATCTAAAGCTAAAGACCAGTGGTGGACTGCAAAGGGCTGGTCAATTTTATAGTCCCTGAGTTGCTGTATAACAAATCGGTAGGAAGGGTAGGGGTAGTAAAAATATATTCTACCTTGTCGTCATTAAACTGTCAAATACCAAGCGGTCACCGGTGACCGCAACCTATTGTTCTTTAATTGTGTCTATAAATACGGTGCTCGAAGAGTTAACAGCTTCATTCAATGTTTGTATGGATTCAACATTTAGGTCATATCTATCTCGAAAATAATAAAACTAGCCATATTTTATTTACCTCAGGATAACTTTTAGAAGAGTCCCACTCGAGTAGTTCAAGGTAAGCCTTCGCTAACGTCTGAGCTGTGACATTCCTGATGATGACCTTGTCAGTGACTGGTAGAGTCAGACCTTCTAGATCTATGTGACGTTTCAACCATTCCTTTGTGTGTTGGAGACCATCTATAATTGGAAATTGTACATTATTCCAAACTATCATTGCTTCACTACAACAGATAACAAATACTTTACTTTAACAAATAGTTTAGTTATTATTATGGCATGAATTGTCCCCAGTATATGGCAATAGGTTCACCCCCTATTACATGGGACTCATAACATAAATAGTGAAACGTGGGTGTTACATTGTACAGTGGTATAATGTGCACCTCTGACTACCCCTTCGGGTATAAAAGGCGTGATGTTATGTTAGGTTATGGCATAAATATTAATCCTAGTTTTTGACCGTTAAGTATAGAGATAGCTAATCCAAACTGTTCCACAGATAACTAAAAAGTAAAAACCTAGTATTGCCAGTAAAAAATCTATTTAACTATTTTACCTTCAGACACTTTGAGCATCTCGTCAAACTTGGCGCGCTCATACTGGACGCTCTCCTGTTGTACATGTGGTCTGATCATAGCTATCAATGTATTTGCTAAATCTAGCTTTAAGATTTCTAGAGTCTCTAGTATCGCTCGGAAGACATCCACCTGCAAAATAAATAAAGAAATATTAAGAAGAAATGTTAGCTAAACTATTCCTTAATGATTTGATCATAGCTTGTTTTAGGTGAATTAATGAGTTTTTATTTAATTAAACATTCTCAAATACTTGAACTATATAATTTAAAATTAATTTCTATTTGAAATCAGTATGTAAGAGAATTTTGTATATCTAAAAAGTATCTAATTAGAATGTAAATAAACAAAAAACAATATAATAAAATTTGTATACAAATGGCAACACTAGACCGACTCTGTCAGTATTGCCATCAAAACAAAATACTCACAGTATCAGAAAGTTTAGTAATGTTCTGTATCATCTCATCTCTTGCCGGGGCAGCTAACTTAGCCATCAGGTCGATCACAAAGCTAGCATACTTATGGAAGTCTAAACTATTGTTCTCTGCTTGTTGCTGAATAAATTCAGCATCTAATACTTCTTCGATCATCTCTCTAATACGGGTGTGACGGGGAAGTAGGATTGAGAACAGACCCTGAAAGTAATGGACTAAGGTTTAGTTTTGCGTGATGAGGGGGTAAAGCCTTTCATTTATAAGCATGCTACTTAATACAAACTGTTCAAAGTATAAAAACCTAACAAGTAATCAAGAATGAGCAAAAAAAATGCAATCTGTGTTAATTAAATATTGTTGAGAATAAACAGAGTATGAAATAATTAAAAACATTACATTACAATTACGTAAGTCAACATGTTTCATAAAATATTGTTACAGTACAATCACTGTTTCATGTTTAACTGTACGTTTTAACAGTTAGGTATTGTGAATTTGTTGAAAAATAACTATCAAAAAAAAATTGCGCCACATTAGGATTTTATCCTGTGTCGTGGGCGCGTTTACAAACATACAAGTTCACATTATACATGACACCCAGACTCGGAACAACAATTATTGGATCATACAAAGAGTTGTTCCGTGTGGGAATCGAACCCGCGATATGCAGCGCGGGAGCCGGTTGCCTACTCACCGCACCAACCGTGCAGTCAAATATGAAAGTGAGCTGAATCTGTTCAAATTAAAGTCATCTATTTAATTACTAACCTGTTTAACATCTTCTAATAGTACAAGAGCCTGCTTGTATTCTGGCGGGTCAGAGTTGAGCTGCTCTCTTAGTATATCAAAGTAAGCTTTATGCATTGTCTCCTTGACTAACTTCTGGTAGCTGTAATGGACAAAAAAAAATTGATAGAAAGAACAAAGAGTCTATAGTTATTTGGTTAGTGTAGATTACAGCCACTTTGTTTGTGTGATCACGAGCCCAACCACTGAGAAACGGGTCTTACGTCTGATTCTAGATTTATAAAAAGTATTCTTAGTTTTGTAATTTTCTAAATTTCTCTTTAGTACCATAGCATTTTGTTAATGGCATAAGCCGGTAAATGAGCTGACGGATCACTCGATGGTAAGCAATCGGCGTCGCCCATGGTCACCTGGAACACCAGAGGCGTTACTGGCATTTTGGGGATTAGGAGTTTGGGATGTGTGGGATTCTGGGGGGTAATTGGAGTCCGGCATCCTCCATTGTCATCTACCATTAACCTTAAAATTATTATAAAATATATATAGTGCTAGCAATTACATTATTCTTTTTTATCATTTGTTTCTTAATAAGGAATGCTTAAGACTTTATTTATGTGAAGACTAGCTACTTCCGCACTGATATACCCGCTTTGCTCGGCTCTTATTGACCGTAGCGTGATATTTTATAGCCTGTAGCCTTCATCAATAAATGGACTATCCAGCACAAAAAGAATTATTCAAATCAGACCTTCGATTAGTGTTCAAGCAAATAAAGAAACAAACTTTATACATATAATATATAAGGTAAGAAATATAAGGAAGTTACTGTCTACGCTTGTCTTCCATGATCATACACATAAAGAGGAAGTACATAGTAGGTAATCTAAGTCATCTAAGGTCAAGATTACTCATAAATGGTAGAGTTTATTACACACTGTTTACTTCATAGAATGAAAACCGAGAATCGTTGCTCAACCGACACTTGTGACTACTCCATCAATCAACAAAGAAATCTTATTCTAATTAGAAAAGTAATAAGATTCTTAAAGTGAGTAAAGGATAAAAAATATTACCTATTGTCTGGTGGTTCAAAAGGTTCCAGCTTAAAATCCTGGTCGACAGCAATCTCATGAGCTAAAGCCATGTTCTGCATACCATGGGCTGCCTTCATGATGTCTTCCAGGGTCACAAACTTGGGTGGAGAGGCACCAGTAATTGTAGAACCTCTTACTCTGAACTGTATCGGTTCACTGGCATAGTAACTATGGAGAAAATATTATTGATTAAATACTCTTTGGAGTTTTGTTTTGTTTAAAATGCCTGGCAACTTGTCAATGGTAAGTTGTGTTGTCTGTGGTTATGTTTAAAATCTAATTAGAATTCTAATGTTATAAGTATATGAGCCAAAATGTAATACATTTTATTTAATATTTAAATTTTTTGTTTATCATTACCATTTATCATCTGTTGATTTCTGTAACATTTACAAAACTATGTGATCTGGTTAACACTTTAACAAGAAGTCTTTGGTAGATTAAGGGCCGAATTTGCCAATGCCATATAAATTTTAACTGAGGAATACTTCCATACTTAAAAACTTTAAATTATCAATTTGTATTTAATTACTCATTATTTAACATTTTAAAACACTATAAACTTCAGAAGGCTTTCATAACCAAACAAAGAAACAAAGGACTACATTTTGTTTTAGATTCTAAACTACATATTTGATTAGCATTCATTATGAGAATAATTCTTATAAGACTAATAAAATAAAGTAATAAGATTTTCCATCATTAAATTAATAACTTTGAGCAATAAAAGTTAGCAATATTATCATAGGTAACAAAGAATAGCATGGCATGTAAACAATGAACCTAGAACATCAATATTAGAGACTCTATTTTTGTGAATGAGTCACAAAATTGACCTAAATAATGTTATTATTTAGACTGAAATAACTATGTTATGTAAACAGATATTTTTATATCTCACAATTTATTTTGATACCTCATTGTTTACATTTTAATTGCGTACTTAGGATTAGGACCGAAATGTCAGAATAGAAAGAATCTCGTTTAGTTATTATAAACATTACTCCAAAACTGCTTCAGTGGGTTTTTTTTCTTAATAGACAGTCATTGTTCATAGTTCTTAAAGATAAGAGGATATAAACAAAGTAAGGTTAGTTAAGATATAAAAATTGAATGAATAGATTTACATACCTTGAGCCAGTGGGCATAGGTTGGGCAGAAGACCGAGCATTCCTCTCTCCTTTGTCGGATCCCTGCGAACTCGAACTGCTTGGTCCCTCACGATCACCCATCGCGAAAACTTAATACAAACTGACTGAGGTAAAGTCAGTAATCTCTACCTCCCATATAAGGCCACCTACTTAAAGGCACAGCTTGAAAACGGTCAAATCATTGAACACAATCACCTTGAGTCATAACAACACATAACCTAACTTTTATCACAAAGTAATCACAATATTTCCCTTTTTCTACGAGAATATTTTAAACGAAAACTACGCTTTAACCTTTTTATTAGTAGTTGTGATTATTTTGTAGGACTTTTTGCGATGTTTTCGTTTATTTTTTACGAAATTCAACAGATGTTTTCATTTACTTGTCAATTTGGTCGTTGTCAAAACTTTTTTAAAACGTTTCGTTTCTCGTGACTTGAACGCATAAACAGCCTTAATTCTATTTACCTTTCGTAATATAATAAAAAATATTTGATGACTAATAATTATTTCTGTAGGTAATCTATAATTATTATATAAATGATTTTAATTGGTCGTGATGTTGGAAGATTAGGGACAAAATGGGTTCATAAACTTTTTCCAGTAAGAAATGACTAATCACTAATTTTCTTCTTGTTTTTATCATGGCAGGAAGATTTTACCATAATGTCAGTTCTATTAAAAGCAATATGTAAGGTGATGCAGGTGCAGCCTAGCTACGATAGTGTAGGTAACCCCTATACTTATACTCTTTGGTGTAGGTTTGCAACTTGACTAGCTGGTTATTATAAGCAGTTTCTCACATTGGCTCATGGGATCAATAAAGCATCTGTGATGTAAATGTTGGTTCTGCGTGTGTACTTAGTACACAGTCACACGGTATCATCAATTATCAGCTAGCCCATAATTTTTTGCGGAATAGTTACTCGATCGTCAATCGACATTGAGAATAGGAGATGACTAGTACAACAAAGTAAAAATGTAGGAATTCGAATTCTGCGAATGTATCGTTACGCAATGGTTCCGAGAAGGAATTTGATGGTTTACTCTAAAGTACAGTTTCGGAAAGTTCATTCAGAAAATTAGCTCCCCTTTCCCGGTAACTGTTGTGCCACTTACCTATCGCTTTATAAAGTTTTCAAATTAGTAATGGTCGCAAAAGCTTTTAGTACCTATGTCTAATTTTAGCGAATTTTGGTTCCAATTTTTGTTTGTTTCGTTTTTTTTGTAGGTGAGAAAGTTAGATAAATGTTAGGTTTGTAAGTACCAAGATTACCTACTTACTACGTCTATGGTACGTAGATAAACAAGTGTCAAGTGTTACAAGTGCGCCTGTTGATGTAGGGGTCCCGTGTTTGATTTTCGTATTAAATAAAATATTATTAATGTTTTTTCCGAAAACTCAATGAAAGCACGGAGTTTAGAATTGTGCTCGCTATGTTATAGCAATATACTTATTTAATAATGATAGTCCCATTAATATGGAATTAAATCGTAAACTCATATCACAGGAAACTTGCGAAAAGTGGATTTCAACAAAAATTGTGACGTCACGTAAGTATCTAACGTTTTCATCAAAATAATAAACAACATAAAAGACAAACTGACTCCCTCATTGGCCGAGTGGTCGCAAGTGCGACTGCCGGGCAAGGGGTCTCGGGTGCGATTCCCGGGTCGGGCAAAGTATTACTGGGTTTTCATAAGAATGCCAGTGGTAGCACGGAGTCTGGAATAGTGCTCGGTATATGGCAATAGGCTCATCCCCTATTACGTGGGACTCATAACATAAATATGATGAAAAGTGGGTGTTACAAGGTACAGTTTTTTGTTTTATTAAGTGCCGAAATATGCCTACACCTTCGGGGATAAAAAGGCGTGATGTTATGTTATGTTATAATATATAATATAAAAAGTGAAAAGTGGGTGTTACATTGTATAGTGGCATTAAGTGCCGTAATGTGCACCTCTGCCAACCCCTTCGGGGGAGAAAGGCGTGTTGTTATGTTATGTCATAAAAGACAAACTAAATCAATCCCATTATACAGTTAAGATAAAGCAAAGGAAGCAATGAAAGTAAATTCTCTCAAGTTTAAAATGAAATAGTTGTGAAAAAGCAATCCGCTTCGCAAACGGCAAGGCACTACGTTTGCCTAGGTAAATTAGTTGCTAGTTCTGTCTGTGAACAAGTTAGATTGCCTTCTTGACTCTCCACGGCTGTTTAATTTTTCTCTGAAATATACTCAGCTGTTGGATCGTGAAGTTTTTGCGTAGACATTATAAAATTGCAACTGGCTTAACAGAATTTGTGTGATGAAATGAAATGAGTTTACATAATGTTTTCATTTCCGTCTTATGACTTGTCCAGTCCAGACTAGTTCTATTAAAAACTTTAATTAGCTACGGGTGTAGAGAATTCCGTAGCTACTTTTATATCGCATCTTAATCTTAATAACTTACAATTTGCTTTTGTATGTAATAGGTACCTACTAAAACCGGGACCGTTATAAAATGAAGATCATATTTTTCAGCACATCTCTATTATTTAGAACTTATTTTTATCTACTACAAACCAGAGTGATAGGTCCTTAACAATGTCTGATAGATTTTTTTTTTGAGGGGGAAAATCATCTAATGTCTTCCCCTCCTTGGGTTAGGCGAGAGGGAGTGTCAGACTCTTACTGATTAAAACCCACCCCGTTCCTGCTACTGCTCTTCGAGTCGGAGCCCCGGCAACCCGTTAAGTCCTCCGCGGCATGCCTGATAGTTACCATTAAACTGAAACATATTTTGTATAAGGAAATCACTAAAATACTCGAGTCGAAATAACCTCCAGTTAGACTAATAGCAACATAATAGGACCTTTTACAACAAACCCTCGAAGCAAGAGTAGTAACGGTCCCGAGCAACGGCAGACTTAACGGGTTGCCGGGGCTCCGGCTCGAAAAGCAGTAGGAACGGGGTGGTATTTAGTCAGTAAGAGTCTGACACTCCCCCACGCTACACCCAAGGCGAGATAAGTACTTTGATCCCTGCAGTAATTCACCGAGGGAAGTGGAAACCATAGTATTTCTTCTTCTCCTCTTATAATATCTTCTGATTCACTTCGTTGCGGGAACCAAGACAGTTACTCATGTCCCTGGGATGCGCCGGACTTCAGTGTTCCGGTGTTTTCATGGTTGTATCTACTGTAGATCCTGGGTTACAGGAGTTGCAGCGGTTTTGGGAGGTTGTGGCGGGCTTGTAAAAAGTACTTTGATCATTTTCCCCTCTCAAAAAAGTACATCAACGAAGCCTTATAATAAACCAATGTCACAATTGAATTAAAACTTTAAACACTAATTGGAGCGAGGACGAGTTATTCCAAACCACAAAATTTAACTAATAGAGAGTCTATCCATAGACTTATATGATCGTCGCTCGTTCGAATCCGATTCAGTTGAATTACCGCGGTGAGTTTAACTTATAGTTCGAGTGTTGGTTTAACTACAGTTTAGTGCATTTGTTAGTAAGTTAAATAGCTTTGCTATTGCATTGTGGATGCATAAGTCCATGCAGATGATAGATTAGCTTATATTAGTTCGAGGAATAATGTAATGTTTAAATGCTTTGGGTTATTTATTTATTTATTCGAATTAGTACGGACACATCACGACATGTAACACTTAAAATACACAAAAGTAACACAATAATAGTCTGATACATGTGATAATAATGGCGAACATAGTATTGGCAATTCATCGGCTTAAAAATGGAATACAATTTATGATTTATGATTTGGGCAATCTACACTAATAGTATACAGAGGAAAGATTAGATTTTTCGTTTGTTTGTTTAAATGGAATCTCCTCCGAAACTACCGCAACGATTTGAAATAATATTTTACCGTTGGAATCCTACATTGCCGATGTTGATCATAGGCTATATTTAATATCTTATAGGAAAGGCATATGTATGTACCTACTAGAAAAATGTCGCATTGATCTTATATACATTTAAAGATGTTTTTGCTTCAGAAAATAGGAGACGTGATGGGGATTTACATAAGTATGGCAAACCATTAGGTAATTTATCGTTTCCTAGATGCGCTATGCGTTTAAAAACAACTACTTTAGGTAGTTAGCAGTAGTGCAGGTACTAAAAATAAAAAACCAGGCCTGCATTTTCTTGTGAAACCGATAACTTGAAATCGAAACTTTATTTTTATTTTTTATTCATGCTTCTGTTCAACTGGACTGTAACAAAGGATGATGTCACCTGATTTAAAATTGTGTGATGTTTCTTTGTTTCAGTGCTTTGATCTTGCCTGTGAGTCATTGAATATCAAGTTTAGTAACCTTTAAATTGGGGATATGGAAAGGACAAATTAAAGAAGAGAAACAATAAGTCACTAGACCTATAAAATCCTGAATTACTTTATTTTGACAAGATAATGAAAACCTCAATTAAGGGCTCAGAAATTCCTGAGGACACGGTGGAACACACGGTGGAGGCCTGCCCTGCATGGGCTGAGCACCGCCGTACCCTCAGGGATGTGATCGTCGACGGCGATCTCTCGCGTCCGTACCTAGTCCGGGTCATGAGCCATGATGTGGAGCGAGAAAGACTGGGATGCCGTCTCCTCCTTTTGCGAAGCAGTCATGTTATGGAGGCGGGACGCGTGAGGCAGCGAATCGCTGACTGCTCACAGCCCAGCTGTCGCAAAGCACACTACGGGCGTCCGGGATCGCAGGACGATGTCCGGCCACCGCACTGTAAGCACGGGCCCAGCGGACGAGTTTGTTTTCGTTTAAAGTATTCGAAACGAACGTACGCGTTCGGCGCTCTGATTGGTTGATTCATTCGAACCGGCCAATCACAGCGCCGAACGCGTACTCGTTACGATTACTTTAAACGAAAAAGAAACTCGTACTAAGACCTCAGAACCAGGCCCGAGCGTACGGTACATCGCGTTCCGCGCGCGCCTCAAAGAGCCATCAGACCACCACGGATAGGGCCCAATAGGGCTGATGCCGATATGGAACCGCGGAGAACGTAAAATGTTACTGCGACTCCGGTTCGAAGTACAGTAGTAGGAACGGAGTGGTTTTTAGTCAGTAATAGTCTGACACTCCCTCCCGCTTCACCGAGGCGGGAGAAGTGATTCGATGATTTCCACACTTTAAAAAAAAGGGGCTCAGAAGTTGTTGTATGGTTTTACAACCATTTTATTTACTACTCTTGTCAAAAATATTCGAAATACCTATCCTAATTACCTACCTACGTCGTTAAAAGACTTAAAAACAAACCAGCATAAACCTCATCTTACAGCACATCTTAACTGCCTTAATGTACTCTATCGTGGAATTTATTAGCTTTGAGTGTGCAGCGATTAGAAATGTAGATTGTAAGGGACAAAAACTGTTCAGAGACCCGAGAGCCGTTTAGCATAGTAATTACGTGTTTTAGATGTGCGGGAATTAATAATGTGAGTCTTATTGGGTAGGCAGAGCTGTTCTTCCTGTATGTAGACTTATCTAACTATATGTATAGGTGACTGTCTTTTGAGTAACGAGTTCGAGTGTGAAGCGGGAGGTTAAATTCCTGTCATGATTTTTGTTCGTCGAAACAAAAACAAATTCGAATACCGTTATTCAAATGTGCCAAATTCGTAGTGTGCACGCGAAAAATTGGAAGAAGAAAGAAAGAAAGAAAAACCATTTATTCTTGCGCAGAACACACATAACATAACTAAAAACTACAAATAATAAAAATAAAATATAATATAAAGCGAGAGTAAACCAAAGTATCATAGAAATATTAGAGATACCTCTATACATATAAATTAAAAATACCTAGGTACAAAACTAAAGAAAAATGAAAAATTAAGTCTTGTCTATGGTCCATAGACAGAGTTATTTGAAATGATAGAATACTATTATCTGTGGACCATAGACAAGGAACACCCTACTTACTTCATTCATAGTGCATAAAAACTGAACAGTGTGGACTACTACACACTAATTTGGACGAGACCTATATAGCAGGTATTATCGACAATAATAAAGTACATCCATAATGGTCATTAAGTGTTGCCAATCTATAGTAAGTAGGTAAAATAATAGAAAGCACTGAATATAGAGCCCTAGGTAGTTGATTTCATATAAAGTTTTCCCATAACGACAAAACAAAACAGGAAAGACAAAATAAAGATACCGAATTAAACATACCATTGTGGCGTAGTAGGTATGTTAGTACTTGTAATCATGTATGTAACCAATATATAACTCGTGTATTACCAGAAATAAAGTCAGTTCTGCATTATACTTTGTGATATTTCAATCACTCTGACACCCGTTCTTATACCATAAAACCACTACTTATTTATCGACCAAAACCGAATAAAACTTCTATCTTCGTAAGCGTTCAGCAACCAATTTCTTAGCACCAAGGAGTTGGAAGGTTCATTAAAAATGTGGCGTTATTCTGCCAACAGCTTAGCAATGGTTGGCTCAACTGCACTGGCAACTTTCTTGACTTATAGACTTAATATAAAGTCTGTGGCCGGCTTTAGACGCTTGTTAGTTATTTACAGGTGTGTTTCTACTCTGTCGAAGTTATTTTATAGAGGAAATCACTTTGTAAAGAGTTTTCTTCTTTAAGTATTAGATGTGGTGATGAAAAGGTTTTTTTATATCCTTTGCAGTTAATTAATCAGATATTGGTGTGGTTTAAACTGTCAAATACCGCGAGGACACCGGTGACCGCAACCTATTGTTCTTTAATTGTGTCTATAATTATTGTATAATTGTGACGATACTCAAAGAGTTCATTAATGGGTAGGTAGTTAAAAGTTTAGAGAGATTTTTTTTGTTTGAGGTAGTATTACCTTAAACAAAGGCTGGTAACGCGGCTGTGACTCCTCTGGTGTTGCGGGTGTCCATGGGCGGCTAATCGCTTACCATCAGGTGATCCATCTACTCGTTTGCTTCCTATTCACTGCACGGTTGGCGCGGTGGCTGGGCAACTGACTGCCGTGCCACGTGTCGCGGATTCGATTCCCACACGGAACAACTCTTTGTATGATCCACATATTGTTGTTCCCGGCCCTGGGTGTCATGTGTATGTGAACTTGTATGTTTGTGACCGCACCCGCGACACAGGAGAAAATCCTAGTGTGGATAATTTTTTTTTTATATTAACATTGCCGTTAATATAAAAAAAAAAAAAATCTTTAATAAATTCATAAAAAGAACAATATTTATCTATCGTAAGAGCAGACGTCTTTGAGGAGAATGCAACAAGAATATTCTGTAATTTGAAGATAAAGATAACAGAAGAAGTAGAAAAATAGGTAACGAGAAAAAAAATTAAAGTAATCAATGAGGTAACATAATGAATTCATTATTTGTGGACACTGTTGTAGTTAATAGATAGATACAAAGTTCCTATCGACATAAAAAATGAAACTCCAATCAACAAACTAACAAATAACAATTTAATCCATTAAAACAAACATGCAGAGGTCTGAAACACAATTTACGGACAAAATTCTGATCCTATTTAATGTGTTAAGAACAATAAATACAATATGGGTGCCCGAGCAATCTGCTTAAAAACAGGATTTAAAGTTAAATTAACATTGGACCGGGAGTGTCGACATCGGATACACAGTTTTATCATGCGTTTTAATCTCTTAAAATAATTTAAACTCTTTAATCCTGGTTTGTGTATGTGAATTTGGTTGGTCGGCTTTGGACGCTGACTCGTTATTATTGGTGATAATTTCGATGCTGTTATAAAAAAAAACGAGTTAATTTTTTAAATGTGTCCATTTTTATCAATAAGGCTGCCGGTTTGTGAGTTAAATTTTATTGTTATTGTGATTTTGATTTACACATTTTTGAAGTTGTATGGACCCACGTGTTTTTGATTACACAGATGAACAATATATTTTTAATGTGTAATTTATTTGACACAAGTACTCTTGTTAAGAATTTACTTAACTGTACTGTAATCAGGATCAACCGATACAAATATATAATTTAAAACAGATACCCTTCAAAACGTGGAAGTGTTAGGCCTAATCTGTGAGCCTCAATTGTAAGTAGGTACTTACGTATGCATTATAGGGCTCGAATTCATACAGTTATCTCTCGAATATTCCAAGAAGGCACAGAATAATCAGAAAAAATGTATCAGATTGTTAATCTGCGACCCCAAATTGCTTAAGAACCTAAGATTCAAAATTGGAATTTCGCTGTCAATCCGAAACGGTGACAACGCTCAATATAGAATGGGTTCCACCAATTTCTAAACGTAGTATAAACCGTGCCGGTCTTCAACCAGCCTTCATTGTTGAGAAACTGACAGAGGCTGCATGCATCGAGGACATTGGACTCCTTAATGATGTAGTGGTTTCTCCAGTTGAAGAATTCATAGTACTTTGTCTTATTTTGAATCGCTTCGTACATCAGTTTTGCTGTGAGCTCTTCTCCTAACAGCTTTGCATCTATATAGGAGTATGGGGGTAGAAACCTGGGGAAGAAAAGTTGTATCAGTGCTTTTTATTTTAAACCACGATGTTTAGTTCTGGATAATATTTACTAAAGTGGCGTTAAAATGGGTCTAGGTCCAGGTATGTATGTTCTTCAGCATTTTAGACGTTTTCAACATCTTCCTATAATACGACACCTGGGTATGAAGAGCAACTCAGTTATAGAAACTATTGATTTTCGGCACGATTCTCAATTTTCATCACACCTCTCAAAATTGCAATATTAAAAGAGTTACCTGTTGTATTCAGCTCCTCCCAGTACAACGGGCACAGCAAGATTGTTATAACCGAACAGAACAGTTTTGGTGATATAGTCATCTGCTATTGAATCTTCTAGAGCCAGATAGAAGTAGTAGGTCGTTCTTATTCTATAGTAACAAGACTTCAACGAGGTCCTTCCACACTTCATGGTACCACAAGGACCAAATACATCGAGAGTAAGATTATACGTCGCTAGACAAATCTTCAAATTCTTTAAAAATATTTCTCTCTTGCCAGAAGTAATACATTTGTCAAGATAAATAGCAGCGGCAGCAGATTTTGAACTTAAAGAACTTTTGAACTGCTTGGAAACTGGTACCGTTTCAAAATTGTCCCAAAGAATATTATTGCCAAGTTCTTCATTGTGGATGTTGTAGACGCTGATGAATTTATAGGGGATGGAGGAGTCACGCCTGTAAATGATAAGTACCAATATATATTAAGGCCTACAACACTATAGCCAGAGAGATTCCGATTTAAGATTTGATTAATTCAACATTGAAAATAATTCATTAAGTCTGTAGAAGAATTACTCACTTATAAGTCCAGGTCCAGTTGAAGTAATAGTCATAAACAGGACTACACACAGGATAATTGTCAGAAGAATCGTTCGCCGCAAATATGTACTTCTGAACTATACTTCTCACTTCTGGTAAATCACTAGATTGTCTGCTGACGTCTTGGACATTGAAGACAATTGCATCGAAGTACCTGAGGTCCATAAAGAAGCTTCGATTTGATGTGAAGTAACAATTTATAAGGTGACAATTATGAGTTATGAAGTACCGTTGCCCTTCTTCTTCAACATTTGAAAGTTTTGTCCACATTAGTATATGCTTCATATCCGGTATATATCGCTCAATCCTTTTCTCAATCTTGATGTGTTTCTGATTTTTAATAAAGTAGTTGATTAGGACCAAAATAATGACGTGGAATAAAAATTTTAGGTATTTTGTTAGTCGAGCCATGACGTGAAGTTGGATTGAAAGCAGTTTCTACACTATTGGATGATACAGAAGCGGTCACAGTATTGGAAAGATTCTTTGAAGAAATGCAACTTCATTGTCCCGATGTCAATACTAGCAAGCAAGTTGATATCATGACTTCTTAGTAATAAAGAGACATCTTATTTGTTTACATTCTTACCTTTGCATTTTGCGTCAAAATAGTTTTCAGAAAACGAATGGGAGCTTCAAAAATTTGTAAATAGCCACTTGCATTGCATGACTTTCTGGGTCAGCAGAATATCTTAGTTTAGTAACATAACATAAGATCACGCCTTTTATCGTAGTAGGCAGAGGTGCACACAGAAGTAACACCCACTTTCACTATTTATGTTATTAGTCCCATGTAATAGGGGGTGAGCCTATTGCCATATACCGGGCACAATTCCAGACTCCATGCTACTACTGGTTTTTTTTTAAAAACCTGTAATACTTTGCCCGACTTTGCCCGACCCGGGAATCGAACCCGAGACCCCTTGCCCGGCCAGTCGCACTTAGTTTAGTAATAGGTAAGTATTTGGTGGAACTCCAGAAAATATATGTTTCGAAGAGCGATTCTCGTTTTAACAAACTACTTAAAGACAGCGATCATATAATTAACAAAAACCTTAAAAAAATAAATAATACAAAGTTATAGACAAACGGAATACAAAAAAAGTATTTATTGTATTTTGATTTCTCGTTACACGATTTGGCGCGTTCTTTTTCAAAATGGCGACAATACTTTCCGCGTTTATTGTGCACATGATGTGGGTTCGGTCGGACAGGCTTCGAGTAAAATTGTCCGTGTTTTTTGAATGGCTTGTCCGATTAATGTTGTTACAAGGAAATCATTTTGATAGACGCTTTAGAAAACATTTTTTGTGTGCTACAAATGTGATGTATGAATGTGTTAGGAGCGAATAAAAATCGTGCACCGGTTTACCGTTGTCAGACATTTTGTCATGAAATTGAAATACTTGTTAGAATCGTCGTTGTTATAAACGAATACGAATGTTTAGGTTCAAGAATATGTATATAATTATTTCCAAAATAGTTTATTACCTATTGTATATTGTTAGTATAATTGTGGTCGAAGTTCCAAAATAGGTAACCTCAGGTTTTATCTGTATTTAGCAAGATATATTCTTTGGTAAACGGCATGGGACTACTATAATATAATTAATGGCAAGAAATACATATTCTCAATTGACTCTCATTAAATTGATTTGCCAATCAACAAACATCGGCATAGATTCATCTTTCAACCAACATTTAATCTGGAATACCAATCCACAGATCTAAAACGATTCCAAGAAATACAAATACGGATATAACAGAACTGTAAATTATGGATATATTAAACCGTTCAATAAATAGCAGTTTGCACCATCCAATATTCATATAGCAGGAATACGATCCAAGCCGATATGAACACTGAACACTGAACAGTATGTATGCCAGTTGTGTTATTTGGGATTTAATGCTGAGATTCGCAGATATCACGGCAGTTGTTCAGTATTCAAAGAGAGGGGAGTGATTTTCCAATGAGCGGGCTGGTACGAATGCAAAGACGCAATGTCTTCACTGCCGCGGACTGAGAGGGTGTATTCTGGATGGTATTTTGTTCGCGTTTTCTTTTTCGATCACTTTGACTAGATTTTAATGTTACATTGTTCTCGCACAATCCAAACAGCAAACTATGTAACTAGAGAATTGTAGTATTGTGAACCTGATTGAAAAAGAGTAACCTATGGAGTTTCTTGCTCGTTCTTCTCCATAGGAATCTACACCTTGGAATGAGCAAATAGCTTCACTTTTAATTTTATTGTTGACGTTCAAAAGTGCCTTTCTGGTCTAATTGAAATACATGATTTTGACTTTGACTTTGACTTTGCGTGAAATTGGGTCGAGTGTTGTGGATGATTTTTGACAAAAGTGTGACAAATAAGTGATGAAAGGGGAACTCAATTTGATTGCCTCGTTGGGCGAGTGGTTATGGATGTCATTGCTGAGAAACGGGGAAAGTTTAAATACCAGTTCGGGCCAAAATATTATTAATTATATTGTTAGTTTCTCGAAAATGGTCTAAATACAGAGAGCCGGCGTACAGCGTACGTCAATAGTCTCATCTAAGATTATGATTCGAAGTAACTACTTGGGGGTAAGTTATTAAAAATTTGAATAACTGAAATAAGTTGAATAATTCTTTGCCCAGCCCTAAAATTGAACTTGGGACCTCGACAGTCGCATTTGCGACACCTAGACTAATGAATCGGTCAAGTATTTTTTGTCCCTATAAAATATAATATTAACCTACATTGGATTGTACCCCACTCCAGAATAGTCCCGCGGCAAGGTAGCGTGGTCTCGTCTGCTAATGAGATTCTTTAGGTCGCGGTTTGCATTTCAGATCAGGCTGTCTCGACGACGCGGTCGCCTTGTTCTACTGAACTCATACTCCAGTTACGTACCGCGATGCAGTTTGTGATTTTCAAAGATTTATTTATTATTAACAGTGGCCTTTTTTTAACATTGCCCCACTCTAGGATTTTCTCCTGTGTCGTGGGTGCGTTTACAAACATACAAGTTCACATACACATGACACCCAGACCCGGAACAACAATCTGTGGATCACACAAAGAGTTGTTCCGTGCGGAAATCATACCCGCGACACGGTGCGCGGCAGCCAGTTGCCCAGGCACCGCGCCAACCGTGCAGTCTGTTGTATAGATTGTTAATACAAGTGAAATCTCTAGAAGAATCTAACATTACATTGGATTTATTGCACTGTATACTGATCTAGGCTTCGTAAGAACATTTTAGGGACTAATATGACGTGAGGTAAACTTTGCATGTGCGATGTAGGATTCTTGTGACGTCATCCGTTGACATGTGGCATGCGTCGCCACAAGTTTATGAATTAAGCATAACGTTCTAAATTTAAAAAAAGTATAGATCTTCGAATTCTAAATTAAAATTGGTAATATTTGAACAGTGAGTTCATAAAGAATCACCCATAAATTTAAATAATACCTATACAAACCACAAAAGAAAGAACCAAATCAAATAAGCACAAGAATTTCTTTCAAACAATATTATTTCTATCTAATGGAAAACGGATAGTTATCTGCGATCTTCCAATTCAAAGGAGGGTCCGTAAGTCCGTCTGAAGAGGACAATATTCAATTCAGAACATGAATATGTCATTTAAAATATGATTCGTGTAAAAAAGGAATAAATTTAGCGTAGAAATGTAACAATATCATCGTGAGAGGAGTCGCATACAAAAAATCCTTTTATTGAAACTAGCTGGGCCCGTTATCCATTATGTATTAGGTACTTTGTGTCTTGTGTTCATTGTTATACGATACGATAATCATTAGTTTTTATTTGTTTAGTTATATCTATGGTTTAGATAATAGATAGCATACAAGCACTTGCGACCAGTAGTAACACGAAGTCTGGAATTGTGCCCGGTATATGGCAATAGGCTCACCCCCTATTACATGGGACTCATAACATAAATAGTGAAAAGTGAATGTTACATTATACAGTAGCATTAACTGCTGTATTGTGCACCTCTGCCTATCCCTTCGGGGATAAAAGTCGTGATGTTATGTTAGTACCTATAGAATTTAAGAATGAAATTACCTAGTATTTGTTTGTTTTAGTATTTGTTTTATTTATCTAAACTGTCATAACACATTATGACAGTAAATTATATAAGTACGTAAACAACAAATACCTTTAATTAGGAATTTAAATCTTTTGATACGAATATTGGAAACATTTCACATAAAATTAATCGACAAAACCGAATAAAAGTTATGTACTTTCACACTCTAGTTTCAGTTCAATACGTGTTGAACCCAACAAACTTTGGGTAACATACGGAATGGCTTGCTTTATTAAGTTCTGACCGTCATAATGTACCCGAACCAATCTTCATACCGATCCAAGCAACACATGTTGTTAACACCTTTCGCCTTACCTACATGTACGTATTGTATGTTTCCTCGTAAAAAATAAAATATAAAACATAAATATAGATGTTTCTTTTGTTATAAAAATAAAAGGTTTTTATACGATATTTTTGTGTAATTTGTTTATTAAACTTCAGTAAATAAATTGTAATTTGTAATTAACCGTATGACTACCTTAGGCCATGTTAAAAACCCCGTATCGTCTCTTACAATGTAAATAAGCAACAATAATGCGAACATATCTGCAACATTCAGTTTTTGCCCGTCTACCTTGTCTCCCGGGGCCCACTGTCTATGACATATGCGTAGGACTGCCTCTAAAATGGGCCCCTTGAATATATTTGCTCATCCGATATGAGATGTTGCCTTTTGTCACCATATGTGAGTTGCGGATAGTTTTTCGCACGTCATATTTGGCGGCCATTTTGATATTTGTAGCGGGAAAATTTTATTGGAATTTTTATGTTCTTTTTTTTCGACGCGTTCGAATTTGGAACGTAGGTACTGTCGTTCTTTTTTTGGTGAATATATTATTTAGACGATTTATGATTAAGGATTGAGTTGTGATTATCTGTTGCGTACGTCAGTATTGTATTTGCTTAATTTTAATTTAAAAATGACCTGATTTAATCAATGTTACACTCATTTCCACTAGACCAATTATGTTATGGAGCGTGTATCCAAAAATGTTGTGTGAACCTTATTGATGGCAGATACGTAACTGAAATTCCATGTAAAATATTAACTTCTAGCATATTCTGCCTATACATTACTAAATGGAAAAATGTCTACGAAGACGAAGAAGTCGAAGTCGACGTCTAGAAGAAAATAATAGAAAATAGTACTGATTAGGGTAGATAGTAACTACGCAAATATTACAATACAAAAAATCCTTACTTATATTATAAATCGGAAAGTGAGTTTGTTTGTTTGTTCCGCTTTCACGCCGTAACTACTAAACCGATTACTTTGAAATTTTGCAGACGTATAGTTAGAAGGTGGTTAGAAGTCTGGATTAAATAATAGGGTACTATATATCTCGAAAAAAATTGATATTTCCGAGGAAAAACAAAAATATTAGTATAGATGGCGCTGTGTATATGTCACATAGGCTACTTTTTATCCTTTTGTGACGCGAGCGAAGCCGCGGGTAAAAGCTAGTAATAGGTATATAAAAAGCGTTCG